GTTCCAAAACTATGCAGTGCAACAGATATTCATGCCATGTGTGTTTATCATTATTCTACTGGCCAGAGAAATGCAGGAATACGTCTATACCTACATGTAGTACAAGGAACACCGCTTACACCTCACCCACAGCCTCACCATCTTTATGTACCACATACTCAGGCTTACCGTATAGGTGGAACACCACATGCATATCATAAAGGCACTAGCATATAACAGCTCAATAGCATTTCCAAAACATCAAAAGCATGTAACACAGCATGCATATAACCATACCCACATGGGACATGGTGGAACCACAACATGGCTAAACCGAGGACACGAAAGCTTACCTTGCAAGCTCACTATCCAATGCCAAGAGTCCTCACAGCTCAAGTCCAACACACAGCAGATCACAATCTGATTTAGGACCAGCAAGTGTATCAACATACATAGCTCAAAAGCATTAACATAAAGACTACGTTCTCCTTTAACGATTTACGTCTTAAGGCTTCCAACAAAGCCACAAGCCCTTAATCACAAGATTCTAACTTAGTTCATTAATTACAGAAGTTCAACTTCATCAATCTAGGGTCCACAAACCCCCAATAGTCTACTGTACACACAGCACAGCTACTGTTCTTCGAAATCCCAGAATATCCGGATATTCCTCGGAGCATATCCGGATATACAATATCCGGATATCTCTCTGGCAATATCTGGATATCCAGATCCCCATATCCGGATATCAATATCCGGATATCAATATACGGATATTTCACGAGCAAATATCCGGATATTTCGCGACAGAATGCACTTTCTGCATTTTCGCGAAGATATCTTTCCAAGGTTGGGTTTTTACTGAATTCAGACACTAAGACATGCATTTCTAGGCGTGTTTGGCATTACCCAACGTTAAGTTATCATCTTATAACCTTTACATGCATCAAGGTTCCATTTTTAACCATCAAAACTCAAGTTCAAAGGTGATGAAGCTTACCCAAGCTTAAACTCAGCAAAAGGATGCTCTTGGAGCTCCCAAATCAAATGCTAAGGTATTGTCCCTCAAGGTGCACGAAAATAACAACACCAAGGTTGGTTCTTTAACACCGAAGGTCACCACTTAGACCTCCAAAAACCAAGACAAGGCTTCTCTCAACCCAAAACCAACAAGTCAACAACCAAACCTCCCTCACACTGACTCCAAAACTCAGAAACAAGACCACCAACACACTCCCAAGGATGATCCTCACTCACACCAAGTGTTTAGGAGAAGAATTTGTGAAGGAAATGACTACAAGCTCAAGAAATGTATAATACCCCAAACTTAAGTATTTAATTAATTAATTTTAATTAAGTAATTAAGCCTGTATTAGTGAGTAAAATTAAGTATAAGACTTAATTAAACGAATTGGAGTCACTTTGGAGGTAAAAAGTGTACTCAGTGAAAGTTAAGGGGTATAAATGGGTACTGGAAAAAGTGTCCAAAATATAAAAATAAAAAATATTAATATTCCTGGAATAATATTCCAGACTTTTGGGTAAAGTTTGGTAATTAATGGAGTTGAATAGATAGATGAACCAATACCCACATAAGCCACTTAACTAAGTTAAGTGACTTAAAAGCCAAAAAGAACCCCTACCCCATTCATTCCCCACGACACACTGCACCAGGGAAGAAGAAAAGAAAGAAAAAGAGAGAGAAGGAGGAAAGAGGGAAGGAGAAGGGAGGAAGAGGGTGAGAGGGCGATTCTCCACCGATCGGAGTGATTCCAAAGCCTAGACCACTCAAAATCTTCCCCTCTTCCATAATCCTAGTTTAGTTTTGAGTGGGGGTTATTGTGGAGAGAGATATTCTCCTTCAAAAATTCGAACCCTAGGTGAAATTGAGGAGATTGATGGCTCCTACCTCCATGGGAGCTTGGGAGGCTTCTATTGCATGGTTGTGTGACCTATTGTGGTAAGTTTCCACTTCTCCAACCTTGTATTCATGGAAGTTTCTTGAGGTTGATGATGATGAATAGTGTATTTTGGGGTTTTATGAGTTTGAGTGTGATGGAGGCTTGGTGTCTTTGAAAATGTTGTTAGTGATGATAAATAAACGGTGAAAATGAGTTTAGATTGTCATTTGAGTAAAGTATGCTTGAGATTAAGGATTCTCTTAAATGTTAAGATATTATTAGCATCAATTGATTGTATTCCTTGTGTTGATAGGATTGAGGCAAGAAGACCAAGTAGAGTGACCAACCTTTGTGGTTGTGTGCAATTGAGGAAAGCTCAAGAGCAAGGTAAATCTTTGGACCTTGGGGTTGATCCCATTGAGTGTTCCACCATACTCCATGGAGGAGAAATGGTTTATGAGATGTGATATGTAATTATGATTGTAATTGTATGCTCATGCATTGATTCATGCATTGATACATGTTATGATTGATTGATGATTATTGGTTGATGTTTGATTGTTTAAGAGTAATTGAGGAATGGTTATAGAAGTAGCAATAATGAATGAGGTAATGGTTGAGGATTGTGATTGAGGTTATGAGTGATAGTATTATGATGATGATGATTGGTAGGAACTTCCCTTGGAAACAGCCCTATGTGGATCTCCATGTGGTTAGAGCCTACGAGGAACAGCCCTATGTGGATCCCTCTTGGAGGTTCCTAGATTGAGGAAAGGACTTCCCTTGGAAACAGCCCTATGTGGATCTCCATGTGGTAAGAGCCTAAGAGAAACAACCCTTAGTGGATCTCTCTTGGAAGTCCATGTGATGCTTGCTGATAAGAATGTGTTAAGCTATTATGATTATATGTACATCGAAAGTGAACCTTAGGGTGGAGTGATCTCCAAGGACCTCTAGTTTACTGTGATATATTCGTATATCTCACCCCGTGTTATGGGGACCCCCTTTCAGGTAAGGAAGCTGCAGGAGCCTCTGATGGCAAGTGGCCTTATTTGCAGTAGATCATGCATGAAGAAAATGATGTTTTGAGATCATACATGTTATTTTGTAGATTTACATGTATAGGATTGATTATTGATAGCATTGACGTATGTATATCTCGTTATATTTGATGGACTTAGCCTATGATCATGCCTTTGGATATCTCTTTTGTTGATGAGAGCCAAAGGATGGTCATAGCCTGTTGTAGCTAAGTTCCCCGTTATGTAATTAAACTTGTGTAATGTTATTTACTTCAAGGTTATGAACGCATGATGAATATTGGAAATGTTGAGCTGAATTGTCTATTAGGAGCTAAGCTGTTAGATTGGGAAACGTTGAGAAAACAAAGGTTATGCTGCCCAATTTCCGTTAAATCAATTATGGAGAGGAATTTATATGATAGATTTGGACCGTGGTGTATGTATGGAAGTTGTAGTATTTTTCTTAGCTTTCCATAGAGACCAATATTGTGTGAATTGGACAAGTACAACACTAGTTAGAGGTAAAATACTAAGAATTGGTGAAACCTTCAAAGCTTTGGCGCACCTGGCGCCAAACTTGGCGCACCGCGCGCCATAATGCTTGGAAGCTTCTGTTTCGTAGCGCAAATCGCGCCGGCGTTGGCGCAAATCGCGCCGGGATCACCAGCTGGCGCCAACCTTGGCGCCTCCAGCGCCATTTCGATCGGGAGCTTCTGTTTCGTTGGCGCCCGCCGCGCCACATCTGGCGCCGGTCGCGCCGGGATCAGCAGGATTCACGCGCTCGTTTCGTAGAAAACCCATAACTTGGGCTACAGTGCTCCGATTTGAGCGCGGTTTGAACCCACGCGTAGCGAACGAAGAGATCTACAATATAGTAGAAGTTGTGAAATAAATAAGAAGTAAACTAATGGTTTAAAAATAGAATGAGAACATGATGTTAAGCTTGGTTTATCTGATTCCGCAAGGTAATATGGTTATGATCACGCAATTGGATATTTTAAATTCGGCGTTGTTTTAAAAAGAAAAATTCATCCGGATTTTTAATTGAGCCAATGTGATTGTAACTGCGCTTAATATCATAATACGATGTTAACAAACCGGTTCTAGAACGGGGTGTTACAAAATGATGAAGGAAAGAAAATGGAACAGTAGCCAACACTCAGCCACCAAGTGAGTCACGTAGAGAATTCTAGTCTTAGGGTTTTGTGCCCATAATGGGAGTATTTAAAATCAAAACTCACTTAAGCACACAGTATTAACTTTAATTGCTACGCTTAGCATTTTAATCCCAAATTTTTGATTCTTCACCTACTCAATTTTACAAGAATTGACATATTTTTATTATATTTTTTGGAGCACATTTCCGGTACGCGCTTTTCATAGCCAATATCAGTTTCTGGCACCAGTTCTCATTATTTGGACTTGAAACTCGTTTTACAAGTCCTATATATTATTCTAGTAATTATTAGGGTCAATTATGGAATCATTTCCTATTTTCTCATAAATAATCAGTTAAATTCATTATTTAACGGTGCGGGTTCTTACAGTCCGGATGTTATAGATTAGAACAAATTTGACCTTCATTTATGAGGATAGAGCTTGAGAAGGGTCATGGACAAAAAAACTAACTATATCAAGGCAACGGATCTTAGCCAAATGGGAAAAAAAAAATTGGGGTGAAGCAAAATTGCATCAGAAGCTTCTTCAAAGATATTCTGAATCTGGAATAAACTCTAGTTCTAGAGTTGCAAAAATTATGTTCTTCGCAATAACAAAAGTGAGAAGAATAGATGTCTCAAGGGAAGAAAAGATAGCAGGTCTTTGTGCACAAGCAAACAACATACTCTTATATTTATTACTTTCAGGGTGGGTTTGGTATAGTCTTAAAAATAAAGTGAAAATTAAGAAATTAGATTTTAATGTAAAGATAATGTTTCACATAAATATAATTACTAATTTATATACCAAACTGACACTTAGAAAACTACCTAACTAACATCATGAATATAGTTCTAAAAGAAAATTGTTGACTTTGGAGGCAGGTGAAGTATAAGTGTCACAGGTGACACTGATAAGTACTACAATCGACCCTTCATTTTTCTTTGATCATCTCATCTCATCTTCACCACTCTTTTTTGCTTCAATTCTTCTTCTTCTTCTCTAACACCTACAAGCAGCTTTATCAAAGAAGGTATGTTTTCTCCTTTTGAGCCCAACACACAGACACATCACAAAGGTATGTTCTTCTATTTTCTCCTTTTGATAAGTCATTATCATCAATGTATGTGATGGAGACATCATAACTAGAGTTTGATTATAAGGACTTTGTGTTAGATAAGGGATGATAGTTGGTAAATTAATATTTAATAATCTTCAGTATATGATTCGTATGATACTAATAACAGCTAGTTTCAAATCTAACAAAACCTCTCTGTATCCAAAAGTGTAATTTGTGGAACCCACTTGAACATACCTAAGAGTTATGAGTTAGGGGTGAAGTTTATGCAACTTTACTCCTACCTTTCACTTGTCTATCCATTGTTCAACAATGGAACAGAGAATTTTCTTCGCTTTAAAGTTAGATTAGAAACATGACCTCTACTTGCACACTACTCTTCTGTATTTGATCCCCTTCTATGGAAGAAAACTTTAAGACGTTCACATATATAACATGGTCCAAAAGAGCATGGACATTGTGGCTAGGTAACCAAGCTCAATGGATAGATTTGGAGTACGCATTATTTCTTTGATCTTTCTTTTGATTCTTGCTAAAAATTTGAGTTCCAATGCATTTGGTGATAGTATGAAGGATGAGGAAGCACTCAAGGAAGGTCAGAGTTACAGAGAAAATTATATCTCAAATTATGGGTATGTATTAGAAATCCCTTTCTAGTTGTTATATCTCACATGTTTGTTCTTTAACCTTGGCTCTTGCAAATTATTTGGTTTTTCTAATTGTGTTAAGGAGTGAAAAGGGGATCATGGAAGAAGATGATTGGCAGATGGTGCAAAAGAAAGGAAACCAATTTGTGGTGAACGACCAACCTTTTTATATTAATGGATTCAACACATACTGGCTGATGGTATTTGCTGCAGATGAGTCCACCAGAGGAAAGGTCACTGAGGTGTTCAAACAAGCATCCTCAGTAGGTATGACAGTTTGTAGGACTTGGGCCTTCAATGATGGCCAATGGAGGGCCCTACAGAAATCCCCATCAGTTTATGATGAAGAAATCTTCAAGGTGCTCCAGATATCTGTTTTGTTTTATGTACTTCTACACTTGCTTAATATACATGCAATTTGACATTTATCTAATCTTATATATATATATATATATATATATATATATATATATATATATATATATATATATATACGGTTAAATTTTTCTACAATAACTTTAGATAACTTATCTACAGTGCACGATTTTAATTAAATCTTACTAGTAAGACTTAGTTAAAATAATAAAATTGTTTTTTTCTTTCTCCTCAGAAAAAGCTATTTTACCATTATAACTAAGTCTTATGAGTAAGACTTAGTTAAAATCGTGCACTGCAGAGAAAGTTATCTAAAGTAAAAGTATAAACCATTTTTCCATATATATATATATATATATATATATGGGAAAAACAAGTATTATGTTGTAGAAAATTCTTAGGTCATGTCATAGAGACAATCAATTGTGGGAGCCACTATTTTTTAAATAAAAGAAAAGTAAAATAATTGATGGACCCACTTTTATGTGTCGGTAGGAAAATTGATTGTGTCATGTGAAAGGAGGAAAACATTACCCTATATATATATATATATATATATATATATATATATATATATATATATATATATATGACACAATCAAACTTCAAGTTATTGGTTATTAGTGCAGCTAATTAACATTCCTCATGCAATTCTATTTTAATGTTGGAGTTACAGGCCCTGGACTTTGTTGTAAGTGAAGCAAAGAAATACAAAATCAGGCTCATATTATCATTGTCCAACAACTGGGAGGCATATGGTGGCAAAGCACAATATGTCAAATGGGGCCTAGCTGCTGGCCTAAATTTAACTTCAGATGATGACTTCTTCTCACATCCAACTCTTAGAAGCTACTACAAGGCCCATGTTAAGGTAAGTTCCTTTAAATGCAACAGGTCAAAACCACCATTGGTTATTACTTTTATTTGGACACTGGAGTTAAAGCTTGTTTGTTATGTGCTGCAATGCATAACTGCCTAGAAATTGCTACCTGCTCAATGCTCATGACTGTTGTTTTATTATTATGATTATTATTCTTTTTTTTAATCCTCAGTACTAAGTTGATTCCAATACTATTTTCACTGTGCAGACAGTGCTCAATAGAGTTAATACATTCACAAATATCACTTATAAAGAAGATCCAGCAATTTTCGCTTGGGAATTGATGAATGAGCCTCGATGCACCTCAGATCCCACAGGTGATAAGTTACAGGTTTGCCTCTTGGAAACTTCTGGCTTCCAAAAATGAAAAAGAAGGGTCTTATGGTATTGAAAAGAAAATATATGATGCAGTTTGTAATATCATATAATCACATTATTACATCAAACAAATGCATTCAAGTAGTCAGTTCTTTCCATGAAATCACATATATATTGCATTCAACACAGCTACTCAATTGAATATATATTCTAGGATTGGATACAAGAAATGGCATTCCATGTGAAGAAAATTGATCCAAAACACCTAGTGGAGGTTGGACTAGAAGGATTTTATGGCCTCTCAACACCTCAGAGAGTTCAATTCAATCCAAATACATATGCTCAACAGGTTGGAACAGATTTTATCAGGAACCACCAGGTTCTTGGTGTGGACTTTGCATCTGTTCACATATATGCTGACTCTTGGTAAGTCTGTTCAGAAATAATATTCTTTAATTCAAATATGTGAAGTTATCATAAGTAACTTCTCCCAACCATTTAATTACATTTATATTAATATGCATTTGCATACTTGTCTAGCCTTTATTAAACACTTATTTTTTCTCTTCATATTTGGCATAGCACATTTAGACATGAATAAGACAGTTTCTAACATAATCAATTACCTTGTTGAAGGATTTCACAACAAATTGCTGATACTCATCTCCCATTTATAAAATCATGGATGGAAGCCCACATAGAGGATGCTGAAAAGATTCTTGGAATGCCAGTTGTTTTTGCTGAGTTTGGTGTATCTTCTAAAGATCCAGGCTACAATTCAACATATAGAGACACACTTATAAGCAGTGTGTACAATACCATCCTAAACTCTACAACGAAAGGAGGTAGTGGAGCTGGAAGCCTTTTGTGGCAGGTGTTTCCTGAAGGAACAGATAACATGGATGATGGGTATGCAATTGTTCTCTCAAAATCTCCTTCAACCTCAAGTATGGTATCCCTTCAATCCAAAAGGCTTACCTTATTCAACTCCTTGTGTTCATCGAAATGCCAGTGGAGTTGTAAGAAGAAAAAAGTATTGGAGAAAACTCTCTATCATGACGAACTCTAATACCATATATGTTGAAAGTTTCCAATCGTAAAGCAATGGCCATATAAAACCATATATGCATGTATAAATATGTGATTCACCATATCATTCTGTTTGTATTAATGTAAATTGTGTGCTTAATTTGTATGTTGTGACATCAGTTATGGTCTTGCATGGTCACCATCTTTATCTAGAAGCGTGCTACAGCATTCTTCACTGTTTTACATTAACAATATGTAAAAGTAGATAATTTAAAGAGAATTTATTGTAACTCATCTAACAACACAGACCGAGTAGGTGAGGATAGAACCTTACTAAAGTCTCAACCCGGAATTAATCTCGTAATAAGCTCAAAGAATTGAAGTTTATAAAAATCTTCAACAACCAACTCACCTTAAAGAATTAATTAGGGTTAGTATGCCAGAAAAAAAAATAGTACCACCTTATATATAGTAGTATTTTTGTCCATATGATCACTTTCTCATTATGTTTAGTTGTATGAAATAAATTCAATTTACAGAAAAAATAATTAAATTGATTATTTATATAGACTTCAGGCTTGGCCCGGTCCTGGAATTTTATTCGGTCCAATATTAGATCTGGTAGGTTAAGGCCAATCCACCCAACAACATCAATCCCCAACATTACATACATTTTGTCACGTGGCAAAAGGACGTGAGTCTAACTAGCTCAAACAGCTACATTTAACTCACCAATTAATAGGCATTAATCTCATTCCTTTAGAAAAACATTTAACCACCTCTCTAGTCATTTTTTTAGTCAATGGATCCATAATATTTTATCTTGATTTTAAAAAGTCAATGATAAAAATTTCACTAAAGAGTAATTGTCTAATAGAGATAAATAGAGTAATCAGTATTTAGTTTAACCGGTTAATGATATGTATTATGCATTGTTACATACCATTAAGAGGATCTATGAAATCTCTCTTTCACCTTTATTTTTAGTTTTATCTTCGTGTTTTCTCTATATTACAAGTTTTAAATTCAAAACAAAGATAGAGGGGACGAGGTAGTGCGGTCAAAACCAAATATCACTGGTGGACATCATGGGAATGAAGCAACATGGTATGACCCAAAATCAAATTTGTTCAAACAACAAAAGCACAACAAATTTTTATATTTGCAAAACAGGCTTGTTTAACCACCAGCAACATCACTTTGAATCGGAGACATTCATGTGAAACGGTCTTATATTTACATCAAATACAAAAGACATTCACAGCAAAAACATGTAGAACACTCAACACCACGAGTTGTGATTTGGTGAAAGGCAGAAAGTCAACAACACCTTACAAACAGGAATAAAACAACTGTCACTGAGGAACTGAATCAGTAATGGCAACAATCTTTTTCTGCAGCTCTACCTTGTTGGCTCCTACAAGTTTGTCAACTTGTTGTCCATCTTTAAGAAAGAAAAAAGTTGGTGTGGCTTTGATGTCCCATGAAGTACTAAAGTCCTGCAACATACACAACCATGATCAATAAAGTTTGTTGGCACTTTTTTTCTTCTCTAGTGTAACACAAGACATATTCCCAATAACATCTACCAGGGATAAACTACATGATCATCCAACAAACTTTAATCTATTATAATTTGTTTCCAATGAAGATTTCTTAGTCCCTTAGTTCATGTTAAAGGAATATGTTTGCTTCATGAGGCACTTGAAACTGTTTTCTGTCCATATTTAAGGGGAATAGTAGTTAATATGTTTCACAAAACTTTAATTACAAAATAACCGCATGAAATAGCAATATTTATAGCTTCACTACTTACAGTTAGTTCATCCACATCAACTAATAAGAACATCATAGATGAGTATTTCTCGGATAACTGACAGTAATATGGCGCAATCATCTTACAAGGACCACACCATGTTGCACTGAAATTCGCAATCACCTGTTGAACATGGAGCTTTTGGTATTAATTATTGCAGTATTAACAAGTAAAATAAAGTCAAAGAAAATGTACTGGAAAATCTCCAAGCAATAAATTATATATTTTATCCAAAATGGGAAGGGTCAACTTCAAAGTGTCTCTGTAATCATGCATACTTGCGTGTGGGGGTGTCACAAAGAGAGAGAGAGAGAGTACTGATCAGCACTAAGATAATATCTTAATACCTAGTGAGCACAAATTCTTCGCCAATATTAAACTAGCCAGAGTAAAATCATTGTTAAAAGAGAGACGAAGTCATGTTGTCCTTTACACGCCCATTGTTTGTTCAGGTGCTTACTATAATGACCCAAAATGGTAAATCTTAATTAGAGATTTAATTTAAGGATTTAAACGCCATAATTAGATTTAGTGCGTAATTACGAGTATTTTGACTGAAATCATGACTATGTTATGAGCAGTGCGTTCTGTCGGAGAATTCACAGTATTGTGAATTAGTCGGTAGAGCTTAAATAAGCAAAAGAAAATTAGAGACATAATTTGACAATTCTGACGACAAATATGAGTTCAGAATGAAAAATTGTATAGTCTGGCACTTTCCGTAAAAATCTCGTGAATAGTGTTTCTACCGGGTATTTAGTACTGCTGTTTGAGCAACCGGTAGAGTCCAGAAAATAAATAAATGATGGAATAAGAGTAAGAAAGTTCAATATATGCCATACAAGTCAAAATAGGCCCAAGGAAATGATAAGTTTATAAGTGTTAAATTTCAAAAATAAATAAAGTACAGTTAGTGGTTCACAGTGCTTTTCGTCAAAAACGGTGCAGAAACGGTACTGCGAATTATGAATATTGTTCCTTAGGAAATAAAAATTAATGTAAATAACTTTAGAAAAATAAAAATATATTCGTAGCTTTAATTTAAGTTTCGGGTAAATTTAAGTGAAATACGCGATAGAAAAACATCCGACAAAAGGGCCACATGTGCCTAAATAGCTTGGCCACTTAAATGAATCACTATTCATTGCAAAAATTTCTTCTTCTCTCTCTTGAAGGGCCGAGCTTCAGCCATGGAAAAGGGGGGTTAGGGTTTTGCTTGTTTTGTTGATTTCTTCTTGAATTCTCAACCAAATCTTATGACCCACCACTTGAAATTGATTAGGAACCACTCAAGGAATCCATTGCACCTATCCATTTGAGCTATAGTTGAGTGTGTGAAGAGTTATTCCTCCTCTTATTTTCGGATTACTATTCATAGGAGGAGAAAAAGTGGGTTTTTGATGGAGCTTTGCTTGGAGGTTATTCTCTAGGCTTTGTACAAGTGATTAGAGGTAAGAAACCTCTATTTCTATGGTATTATTTTGTGATCTATGTTTTGAAAATTTGGAGCATGTTTTGAGTGGGAAATATTTGATGTTAGAAGGTGAAAATTATGATGGATTGTTGTTGGTTAGGAAGGATAGTGTTTAGTAAGCATTAATTTGTGATAAAAAAATTGAAAAGCCCTAGTGCACCTTTCCCCTAGGTTTCGGCCTTCATGGGTTATGTAGGGTTCATCATGCAAAATTTTATTGTATGTTTGAAAAGGTAAAATATGTTGGAATGTAGTGTAAATGGATGAATTGGTGGAAATGCCAAAGTTGGAAAAAAATCCTACAAATACTTGCTCTATGTTTCGAACTATAGGATGTTTAGGGGTATATATATATTGGTTACATTTTATTCTAATAAAATGTGTTGCATTTTAATATACCAATGGATGAGCTAAGAAGTGAAATGCTTTGACAAATGGTTGAAAAATACCTTGAGTCCCTAAGAGTATGCCCGCGACTTTTAAAGAAAAATAGCATGATTTATGTGGAAAATTCTTAAGTAAATGCTTGATTAAATTAAAGAACGCCAACGGGTGTATAGAGGTCTAGACTTGTGTATTGGCATAGAATTGGCAAAAATATAAAGAAAGGAAAATAAGCGATAAAATGTATGCTTATGAAATAATAATGGCATAGTATCATTTTATTGATGCATTGTAAATTATTCTCTAGGTGTGCCTAGGGATTGAGAAGGATCGGAAATCTCTTGAAGCGATAAAAGTAACTTGTTCCACAAGTAAGCGTATTGGTAAAGCTTCAAGAGGTAAGCTCTATGTTTAAGGAGTCTTTTCCTACTTGAGTGCTCCACCATGGTTAGTGAACTGTGGTTGGACTATATGACTGTTGTTGATACTCTGTATAGGTGCATTCATATAGAGTGATTTGATGATATGATTTGATATGATATGATATGATATGATTTGATATGATATGATATGATTTGATATGAGACGATATGATATAACTGGGTATGATATGAGTTCTATATTGACTTCTGGTACACTGATGTCTTCTTGGGGTTTTCCTGAGATTGACAATGTACACCTCTGAGATACTCTGATTCCGCTTGGGGTCATCCCTTGGGAACACGTGCGTTGAATTCCGCTTGGGGTCATCCCTTGGGAATTACAGCGCACACCTCTGTTATGATATGGTTATATGTTCTGTTCTGTTATGATATCTGTTATATGTTGTACTGGTATACTCTGTATCTGACTTTCATGCAGGAGTGAGCCAGGGGTATGGAGAATTCTCTATAAACCTGGAGCTTACTGAGATTTGAAATCTTACCCCTCGTTGGGGCAACATTTTCAGGTGCACAGACTTCCGGTGAGCCTTCGTTAGGCAGGGACACGACACGGGGCTGAGACGTTTGACGGATCAGTATTTTGAGTAGCTGTAGGCTACTAATCTTTTTGGAGTGTACCTATGTATTTCGTATTTCCGTAGTGATGGATCATTATGTTAGATCCTGTATTTTGTATATGGCCTGTATATGTCTTGTACATGTCATTCAGTTGATGCATGTACCTTTTGTATTCAGGCATGTTGATATGACTATGTAGTATTCAGTTATGTTTCTGTATTGGACTGCATGCTGTTAGATTAGTGGCACGGAGCCAATTTCTGCATGCGCCCATGGATGGGTATCTGATTATATTGCATGACTGGTACTTCTGAATATGAATATTATTGAAACTGTCTATCAGGAACTCTTGGGAGTGGGATTGGAAAATCCCCAGTTGTCCGATTTACAGAGGTTACTCTGTCCGATTTTTGGTTATGCTTTATATGAAGTTAAGAAGAAAAAGAAAAAGTTAGCCTGTATTTCCGTAAGATAAGTCTTCCGCTGTATCTGTTTATATCATATGTATGTTAATTGAACCGGCTCGAGACGGGGATGTTACACTTACACAGAAAACCTTACAACTCATCACCAACCTTGAATGTAGAATTCATTCCTAAGTTACACCTCAATGTTCCTAAAGGGATTAGGGAGGCTTCACTATCAAGCACTGAAAATACAGATGTTACCAACTATACACATGTATGGTAAATCATGGTAAGGTATTAATGATTCAGCCAAACAACACAACAAAATGGATACAAGCATTTAATTTTACTGTCATACATATCAAAAAAGAGGGAAAACTTACAATTTTTCCATCCCTCCTTGCTTCTTCCAAATTTTGGTCCCAAGATTCTTTGGTGGTAATAAGTTTCACATTCCCACCAGCAAACTCCACATTATCATCAAAATCATTATCCTTAGCTTGAGGCTACGAGCATTAGGAACATGAATCTTCTCTGTTAATTGACTTATCAATGAATGAAGTAGATTGATAGATTACAAAGTTCTAGAAGCATTGAGGTTCCACTAAGTTGCTATCATACATTTAAACTCGTTTTCCAATTATTATTTTTTCCATTTTTCCTTTATGGCAGCCAGCAGTGGAGAGGAACAGAAAGGTCAGGACTAGAAGCTGACAGAGGAGCATACTTCTAGTTATAGAAGGAGTACTATCGCATCATATTTGATTTAATAAGATGTTAACAAGTCACAATCACTGAGATATTAAAGATGAGTAGGAATAGTGATGGGGAAAAGAGATGCATTTAGAAATATCACTATTAAAGGTAATGAAGGGGGCAGAGGGAGAGAGAGAAGTGAGTGGAGAAAACAATAAAGAAAGTTGCAAGATAGCAAATTAGTTCTTCTTTCGCTATTTCCGTCTCTAATATGATCTGCCTCAGCTGACTAATTGCTACTTACAAATATAATTTAAGACTTCTTTTTCATTAACTTCATAGGCGGTATAATTTAAGCTATAGATCATTGGCTGATATTTAGATAATTTAGAGCAGTTGGCATTCTTAAATAATTACCCATTTCTGATTCTTATCTAGTTGTCATTAGTTGTTGCATCCTGTTATATTCGTTTCTCCATTCTTGTGTCTAATCTATCTGCTACAGATTACATACAACAAACACAGTTCACATGGTCCGGCTGAAGATGTGAAAGTTAATCTCTTATGTGGCTGGCAAGTGACTTTTGGCCACAAGAGAAGGCACATTAAAAGGCTGTGAGTTTAAAGTTACAACAATATATCTTGCTTATGTTATCTTGTAAACTCTATCAAAGAAAAAACACTCTATATACTTACAGGAAATATTAAGACTTTTGCTTTTTAAGTATGCTATCTGTTGATAATAGCAGTTTATCAGACACAACAGGAATAAAGTCTCAGGCCTTCAACTTTTGATGAGCATAACAATGAAGAATATGATTGATGTAACCAAATATTCTCACCTTAGCCACGCAATTCCCCATACAAGTGTTTGAAAGCCACAAACTCGTAAAATTTAATGAATGGAAGCCTGAAAGAAGAAAGGGCACCAGTTTCAGCAGAACAAGTTTCTCTAAGTCCACCAGAACAAAAGAGAAAAAACAGAAAACAATAGCCAAGTCATAAATTGATTAATAAATGTATGCAATACTTGATCAGTTGGCTATCAGCCATGCAAGTTACACCTAGACCAAGGGAAAGCAAAAATTAAGAAACATAAGAAAATAAGCACTCCCATAAATTTTCACTTAATCAAATACCAGAAATCACTCCCATACACACATTTCTGAAAATGGAACCATAAACAACTAAAGGGTCAGAGAAGATGAAACCTAACAATAGAAAATAAGAAGAGACAAAATCAAGCAGGGGAAGGAAAATATTTACTCTTCAAACAACATTCATGCATTCTCAAAACTTGTCTAGTTGAAGACTGGGAATAACAACACCCTCCACCCTTCGGCTATCACAGAAGAGCAATGTGCTTTGTAGAAGTGAAAATTAGAAGAATGGAGGGAGACAATGAAAATTGCAATTTCTATTAAGAAAATGATACATGGTTTGTTTTTCGAATTTGCATCCATTCCTACCAAGAATGCCATAAGAAACAAGTGCTCCCAAAATGCAAAGCAAAGTTAATAAACCCCAACATTTTAGTTTTTTCTGCTGAGAAACACAAAAGCAAACAATATGGCTCATTCATTAAAAACAAAGACAATAATAACAGGAATTTCTATATCTGAAATTTAAAGTTGCGAGCTTTCCATCAATTTGCATGCAATAAAAACAAACCCATCAAAAATAAATCTGAAAAAAAAAAAAAAAAAAAAAAAGACAATTGAAGGAAGACAAGGGATTATTTATGCAATTAGAGAAAAAGAAAAGCCACTATGAAATTACCTCCAAAACTTTGGTGTGAGATTGCTTAATCAATGCAATAATCCAATTTGCAGATTTGAGCTGAAACGAGGGAGGGACAGTGAAACTACAATAGACCTCGGACTCGGAGAAAATAAGGAGCTACTTAGTTTTTGTGTTGTTGTTGGTTAAAACACAAAATATATATACTAATAAATAGGTTCTTCTAGCATAAGATATTTATGTAGTATTAATCAAGTTCGTGTATGGATGTATGGATGATCTGAAAGTGAAAGCATTCAGCTTTGAATTGGACAAACTTATATAGAATGTTAATCACTTTATGAATAGGTTGCTTAAGGGTTAAGACTTAAAGACCATTCAGGTTCAATTCATGACATACCACCAACGGTTGCACGTTGGTTGAGTGTGGTATCTAGTGAGTCTAATTTTTCAGAAGCGACTAAAGTTTAAATTCAGATATGGCATTTGTTGAACTTTTAGTTGCAAAAGAGTGATAATATCTGTAATTTAAGACAATTTTTTTTTTTATAATAAGTAATAGGGTCCCTTTTTTCGGATGTTGCAGGAATTTAAAATTTTACTGCAAACTATGTACTTCGGATACTGCATAGTTAAATATAAAAAAAAAAAAATTAATATTATAATTATGTACTTTCCGGAATACATAATTATAAGAGGTATAAAAAAATTTAATATTATAACTATTACTCCCTGGAACTTCAAATTCCTGCGATAAGAGCCTATTATACCTAAGTAATATAGAATTTGGTTATTGAAAAATGTTATTTTAATTTTTCAAGATATGAATTTATTAATGGGGAAACTATTTCTGCAGCTGTGGCAGAAATAATTTATTTGCCACAAACACAGAAAAGAGAAATGTGTTCCATCAAATTTTTCTCTCTCATTTCTTTATAGTGTCTCTCTCATTTTTGTGTATGTGGCAGACAAATTATTCCTGCCTCAATTACAGAAATAGTTTTTCCTTTATTAATAATATTAGTAGGATAAATTTATTATAATAATATCAAAATAACAATTAATATGTTTCAAAAATTAAATAATATAGTTACTCTAAAGATAATCAACCACCAAAATTACCAAATGCTGCGCACCATTGTAAAAAAAAAAAAAAGATCAATTAGAAATATTCAATAGAAAGAGAAGCTACCTTAGAGAATATGAAAGAATACAGTTATGTAACAATTACAAACTAGAAGAGGGATAAGACTAATTTACTTTCTTTTTTTTTCCTAAACAAGAGCCGAGAATATATAAGATCCTTAAATTTCAAGTAGACTACCTTAAAAAAATTGACTATGTATTCGAGAATAATAACATTGACAGAAAATTTCCTATGTGTTGTGACACTGTGCTTCTTACGTCTATCCATATAATCTTTTTTGTTATGATTGTTATGGCAAAGTCAAAATAATCTTGTCACTGTTGTTTTTTCAAGTGGGTACTGGGTAGCGTCAAATAAATCTGTCACTGACAGAAAGATCAGTTCAGATTCTTTTATTAAAGCATTAGCGAAATACTCTAATATAGAATATTATGATTGATAGCTAGAATTGATGATTCTGACAGAAGAAAAGGAAAACAAAGGGTCTCAGAATCTATTTACGAATCAATGGGTGTCATGTGGTATAAACTAAACTATAAAGTGCTTGCCACGTCTGATCCAAAGAAAGAAACTTCCATGATGATTGTGGCAGTGACTTTCATGTTTCAATCAGTGGCAAGTGGGTTAGCACTTATTAGCAGCACATGCTTTCTGATCTAAATATCAATGCTGAACTGGACTTTAGATTATATATCTTTTGTTCTTTGACCATTTATATCGTATATTAATATCATTGTGTTTTATCTGTTGTGTTGGACCATCTATATTATGATTATTAGAATTATTTATGAGATGATGAAATCTGCAACAGAAGAGAGCCAGAGAGTGGTGTGGTGGGGCTTTCAATTTTTGCAAGCTGGAGAGCCAAGATAATGAGTACTGAGTCCCAAACCCTATTCTTTTTTTGTTCACTGCAAATTGTTAAACTAAACTCCAACCTTGCTAAGAAGGGAAAGCCAATTCCTAAAATATGATCAACAGTTACACGGGCATCTATTTTGTACTAAATAAGAATAACAATAATGATTCACCAATTCAATTTTGATTTAGGTTGCCTTTTTTTATTTTAAGATATCAACTGGAACATCAATTACTCAACTAATCCAATTCAAGTCAGATAAAATCACATGAAACCACATGGACAGAAAAAATTCCGCAGCTAAGTTTTAACATAACCATATTCCTAGAGACTCTAACTCAAAATTACTAGTTAAACTGGAACAACCCAATTTAGGTTGCCTTTAGTTTGTTATTATATAGTATCTGAAAATAGAAATGGGAAAGATAATGATAACATGTGCAAGTTAGAGAGAACAAGTTTTTTAAAATGCTTCAAATACCTAAAATATTGTGTAAGGTGCATAAAATTCTTTTAAGTACAGGGCATCGTTTTTCAATGAAATGATAATGTCTACTAATTTTTAATTGCCTCATCCTTGATTCTCAAGTCTCTATAACTACGGTGAAAAAAGTAAATCATGGTGTCATATTTTTATCAGAAAACAGCACAGAGGGAAGCTAATAAGTTGTCCTATTAAATATCAACCTAGTTATTAGAGATGATCTAACAAACATGTTATCATAGTTAAGGAGGCATCATGGGAAAGGTCTGTGTTTGTGACACATCACTATTTCTACATTGCTTCATAGAATAAGATACAAACACAGCCATGACACAAATAACATCTTGTTGGTGCCTCTGCATCATGATAACACTTCACAGTGGTTGAACATAAAGTTATATTTTTTTTTTTATCAAATTACGACACCACCTTCCCTGTCCAGCATAACAAACAGAATCTCACCCCTAGAAAACAGGAAGAGATAAAACAAACCAACAACAGTATTCATAGATGCCTTTCAATATACAAGTTCTAAACACAAATCAGCCCATGGCATACTTCTGGGTCCAGCTGCGAGCAGTGGCCTCATACTTGGCCCGGTCAGTTTTGTACATGTGAGCAATCTCCGGTACAAGTGGGTCATCAGGATTTGGATCAGTCAGCAGTGAGCAGATAGAGAGCAATACCTGGTACAGCAAGCAAAACATAATTAGAAAGCCCATTATATTCAGCTTCCTCAATATAAGCAATGAGTTCCACATACAACAAATGATTTTAGGAAATTCCTGGTAATCAACAGTACAAAAAAGCTTAAAGACAGATGTTAACTCTTGTACTAAGATTCCAAATTCTTGCACAACATATTCATGTGTAAAATTACCGAGAGCAGAAACACAATTCAAGCAAAAGTATGCCACGTATTTGCATCAGGCATATAAAAATATAGAACCAGTCTCCCAAATTATGTTGGCAGTAGGTAGACCGACCAACCACAACTAAAAATCAGTGTTGTGATTGTACAAAGTTATAACTAGAAGTCAGTAGAACGCATGAACCTCCACTACTGAGGGAACATTTGGTATACAATTAAAACATAAGGGAGAAAAACATAGTGAAGAAATTTTTCATGGGGTAAATATTTTTTTATTTTTATATAGAATATCATGGAGTAAATGTTAATGGAGTTAAATCTCTTACTCCTTAAAAACTAAGGACGTTTGGTAGAAAAACTTTAGATAATTGTGAATCCCCTTTATCAACCTTAAAAACCACTCCACAGCCCCTCAATTCCTCCATTGTTGTTGCCTGAAGCTATCCATGGCAGTGACTCCTCCGTGGCACCCGACAATGCTTTAAGAAGCAGATTTTTCATTCTTCTTCCACTGAACAAATCCCAGAGTCACTAGCAGCTTCGATATGGATGGTGACAGCGAATCAAGCTGTGTAAAGCAGTGGCTAAGTACCCCACCTATTAATTTTAGGTCGATTTCTGTTGAAGATTCTATGAAAGAGGGGTTGAATAGAAATAGAGTGAATCCTTGCAAGCCATGCTAAAAATGGCAACGGCCGATAAACTCTAACTCCAATAAGTGCTCTCAGAGGAAATGTGCAACAAAAGAGATACATAGACAGAGAGAGAGACAGACAGCCATTGTCAAGTGATTCGATTGAAAGAGAGGGGAAACAGAGAGCAATGACATGTTCACATAAGCACGCAGATATAAGTCTCAACAAGTTGCACCTCAGCAACCCGCCATTTCAGCTGCTGCCCTCGGTAGCACCAAGCTTGAGAACCCTGCCATCTCCTAATCCCTTATCGCATGACTTCCTATCAAATGCCTAATTGAGGAAGAGATGCAGACGCAACATCACAACAAACTATGCTTCAATTACGACTAGAAGTTCGTCCGTGGACATTGATGCAAAAACTTGGGCATCTCATATTTGGTAGGTTTTTGCGTCATGGAGGAATACTCGCCATTCACACACCATGTCTTGAATTGAGGACAAATCTAGTCTGACAGGAGGAAGGAATGTTTGGATTTTCCACTAATAAAAATATTAGATTGGTATCAATTAATCCTGATTAGTATCAATTTGGAATAGCATTTATTATCTTTGTTGTTTTAGCATTTCAAGTCTTTGTTAAAATGGCCAAACTGCTAAAGGGAATAAGAAGAAAAAATTACTTCCTTCCCTATAACTTTCCCATGAGTGAAGAAAAAATTCACTCAACAGAAGCTCATATATGTTGTTATTGAGAAAAAAAAAACACAATTTGTGGGTGCTTATACACAGCACAGCCACCCACAAGTTGCAACACAAATGACTCATGCAGGACAGCACCTTGGTGAAGAACCATGGAGCACCACCAAGTTCGATCAACTTAGTCTAAAACAAAAGGGAAAACCAAGGCAGAGTTATAACGCCACTCAGAGTTGCAGCAGCACCGATGCAGTGGGACAGCAACTCAGAGGGACGGGCAAACCAGCAGGCAGCAGCACACGCAAATGGAAGTAGATATAGTCTAAATTAAAAAATCCAATAATTGGGGAAAATCTTGTAACCTAGCTAACTGAAAGTAGTTTTACCGATTCCCATAGATATGATGCATAATAACAAATAAGATCTTCACCCAACCCCAAAAAGGAAAAATTACAAAAAAAGGAATTTCTAATAAAATAAGACAATAAAGGAATAAAATGTAGTGATTGTGTACAAAAATATGGACTAAAAATATATTTCTAGGAGTTTCTTTCTGGTAAACTTCCAAAATTATTGTAAACAAAATGTTCTCTTCTCTCTTAAGGGAAGCTAGGAAATGTTAATATCTTTCTATAATATATTTACGGTCATTATTTAACACGAGCCATGTTATTCAAAGATCCATTTTCATGCCCACTGATTTTAAAACCAAAGGAAAAGAAAGTCCAACCTTAGAGATGGTAAGAGCAGGACTCCACTGTTCCTTCAGGATATCAAGACAAATGCTACCATTGCTATTGATGTTCGGGTGAAATACCTTAGTCCTAAAAGCAACCTGGTTGAAAAAAGGACGCGACATATTTCCAATACATTCAAACAACTGAAACACCTCAAATTCACAGGCATCACACCATAATGCTTACACATTTTACCTTAGGGGGCTTGAAAGGATAATCGGGAGGAAAATGAATAGTAACTAGAAATACACCTCCAGCATATGGACTATCAGCAGGACCCATAATTGTTGCTTGCCAATGGAACATGTCTTCAGCCACTGGACCTGCAATAAACAAAAATATGACATTTGCATATGCTACAAACACGTAGCATTTAAATTTAACAGAATAACACACAGTCACTCACCACCAACAACATCACACATAGCAACCAATATTTCTATGCTTTTATCTAATTTCATTTCACAATTGCATGGTCATAACAAATCACACACTCATGACTACCTCAAAAAAAGCATTTTTTCTGCACCTTATTTAAATTTATTCTACTCTACCCTAACATGGGGGATGTTGAACGTGCTGGCATCTAAAGCATGAAAACGAACCCAAGAAAAAAGATTAAATTTTTATGCAACAGAATTACTTTTAAGATATTAATCTCAAGTTGGGGTGATGGGAATAACTAAAAGGAGAAAAGGGTACCAACCAGCGCTGCAAGAAGTGGGTGGGTCTTTCTGCAAGTCCTTGAGCTCCTTCAGGATACGCTTTGAGGCCATGGGTGGCACTTGGGACTTTCAGATCTGAAGGGAAAATGGGGAAGAGAGATCAAAACAGAACCCTAAGAAGTGTGAGTGAAAAGAGATAAAAAAAAAAATCATATATATATATATATATATATATATATATATATATATATAGAGAGAGAGAGAGAGAGAGAGAGAGAGAAACCTGAAGGTGAAGTGGTGGGTGAAAGAGGAATGAGGGATCCAAGAGATAGAACTTCAATCCCTCAATTTCCCAATCACAAACCCTTCGTTCTTTGCTTTGTTCCAAAACCAAAACCGCTCTCACAGACACAGACCACAAAACGTGTGCTCTATTTTCTTCAATATATAGACACACCAAATGACAACCTTATCCGTTTCTTCTTTCTTTATTCCACCCCTTGTCCTAATACCTACTTTTTACTTTTTTTTATTCCAACCCTTTTTATTATTATTACACATTATTATATTAATAAGGAAAAATAATATATGAAGTTGTGGCGGAAATCATTTCTCTCTCCATCGTACACAAATATTTGAGAGAGAAAAGCCAACATGATGAGAGAGAAACCAATATTTGTGTACGAGGAAGAGAAATAATTTTTACCACAACTGCATAAATCATTTTCTTTAATATAAAATTTTTCTTAGAATGGATTATTGTTGGAGTTTAGTATTTTTCATGCAATAAAAAAATAAAGTTATTTCTTGCAATTTTAAAATTATGAGATAATTTTATCTTCTAATATATAAGAAAAATATTTTTTTCTTTATTTTATTTTTATTATTTTAATCAATTAGTTTATCGATTACTCAATTGATTCGATTCAAGTACTACCAAGTCCATTTCTGTATACCCTTTGTTAAATTTGGAAAAAAAAAAAGTTATATAAATGACTTTTCTCATTTTACGCTTCCTTTTATGGTTATTTTCACATAAATCTCATATTTTTGCATTTTAATACATGAATACATATTCCTATCATATCAAATATATGCTCCAATATAGACCATTTCCTCCATTCTCAAAGCTCAAGCTTGAGAACATTTTCTGTGTTAGATTTTCATATAAATTTTATCACATGAAAATTTTATATTTGTTTTTCTTTATAAATATTAAATATTTGAAGTCTTACGTAAATTTATAAATATTTATAAAAAAATAAATATACCATTAATTATATATCTTCACTATCTATTCAATCCTTGTACGTAAATGATGCTGCATAAAATAAAGTTGAGTGCCATTTTTTTAATAAAAATAAATATTAATGAGTGGAGGAGTTTGTTTTGAAATAATTTTAACTTTTTGAATTTTTTTAAAAATTTATTGAAGTTAATTGTAGATCAACTAAGTGTAACGTATGTTAGGAATATGGTTTCCGTACTAAAAAAATGGAATGAATTGAGTATTGCAATTTTTTTACAAAACCTCATTCTTGTTTTCAAATTATCATTTTAATTTTTAAGCAAACTTTGGTATATGAAAAGTTAATCAATACATTCAAAAAGTTCATAACACATAATGTATCAAAATTATAGAATATATACTAGCATATACAAGATATTAAAGAAACAATTAAAATGCTAGAAATAAAGAATTTAGAGAATTGCAAACACAATATATACTGATTCAGTCACTACCACTTGTGACTTACGTCTGTATTGAAGTCGATCAATCAATTCTTTTACTATCATTTAAGCTTCACGAGTGCTTGATAAACCATTATAACCTCCAAACTTACAGGTCCTTAGAATCCTCTCAATCTCTTCAAGAATACAATGAGGAATTGTTTCAATAAGGATTTACACTCTCAAAATATGGATAATACAAGTTGAAGCACTATAGGTATATGGATTTTCAATATATAAGCTCAAATATTTATAATATTTGAAAAATATTAAAGAAAATGTAAATGATATTACATAAACTCTTAAATTATCCTTAAGATGTTTAACAATAATGACCGAACTTGTTTATAGCCATAAGGAATGTATTCATAGTGATTTTGCCCAAAACTATTTGTTTATGATTGTTTATAGCCATCATAGGCATACTAAGCAGTAAAGATTCAAATCATTTTTATTAGAGATTCAAAGGAATTCGAATCTTTCCCAAACAATAAGTGGAAAATGATCAAAAATATATTTTTTACACTCATTTTTACTTTTAAAACATGTTCAAAACATGATAAAATCATGTTGAAATAAATTTTTAGACCTTACTGACTTTTTATGCATGAATTTCACAAATGAAAACCAATTTGATTTGAAAATAGTTTCATGCATGTTCTTGGCTCTTATAAAAATGATTATCATATTTAACATTTTTTATTTTCCTTTGTTAGAAAAGCGTGCCAAGATGATTTGTATAAGGGTCATGCAATATTGAACTCATACAATGCAATTTAATATATACCCTTATAAAATCAAAGTTCTAAAAGTATAATCCAATAAAAACCCTAACTTTGCTCCTTGCATTGATTCTTGGATCTTGATCTTTACTTCAACTTAAATGCTTGAGTGTTGGTTTTACAATAGTTTGATCCTTTGTTGGATTTGACCATCCTTTTTCATAGCTTGTACAATTAAGCTTTTCTTCAATGTTATTCATGATTTGTTGCATTTGATTTTTGATTTTTCTCTTCTTATTATTCCTTGCTCTTCTCTTTTTGTTATTATTTTTTTGTTATCATCAAAACAAACATTGTATCCACAATGAATGAGTGTAAAATTAATTTTATATTTTATTATTTTGCATATAATTATCTTTTTATTTTTTATTTTAGGAACAGGTTATATTTACAATATTATTTTCTTTATTATTTCTTACAAAATAACATCAAGTATAATCCGCTGGTATATTTTTTTGGTGAACAAAATAATCCCCTGATTTAATTTTGATACAACGATAACAAAAATAATTATAAAAGACAATAATAGAAAAAATGTTGTAAATATAATTTCTCTACTTATTATACTTGTTATATTTTGTACGACTATGAAATTACACTTTTCTAAGATGAATTTTTTTTTTTAGTAAAAGCTTTGAGTTAAAGGAAATCAATAATTTTAAATTTCTTTTCATAAACACCCTTTGGTGTTTATATATAATTATCTCAAAAAAAGATAACGTTGGTCGTTCACATTTGATCATTCGACGCATCAACTTTTGTTACACTATCTTCCAAGTGTTCATATACTCTGCTAGTTTTTCTCTATAAATTATTATTTTGCTTTTGTCGTTTCTTAAAAGAAAATAAACATAAAGAAAACTAAATTAATTATAATTGCACAATCTATTTAAAATTATACCTTGCATAATTTTATGAGTAATCTTTAAGGGGCTATTTGGTTCAGGAGAACTGTCAAGATCTCCAGTAATCCATGAGTGAGAATCAATGTTTGCTTCGTTTGGTTCAGGAGAATCAAAAAAATTCTCACTTTTCACAGTTGCCTAGCCATTGTCTTTCGCGTGCAAAAAAACAGGGAAGTTATTGTGCGATTTGACCAAAGTTAATGTGGTACTGTGAGAAGCATAGAGAAATGGCAAAAGTGGTGCAATTTTGTGACAAAACTACCCCGTCCAATACTCCCATCATCTGTGACAGACGCCATCACTCTTCTGCGATAGGTTCCATCTGGTAAAGTTAAACCCAAACCTTTTGAAACCTAAATTGAAGCATGACTGAAGAAACCCAGTTGGCTATGGTCGGAGGTCAGGTAATGCTATGCAAACTCGGTTTTGAATCATTTCCTGTCCAGTTGTGACATGCACTTCGATGGTTTAGTTGATGTTATGAATTAAGAAATGGTTTCCAACAAATTTCTCCTCTATCTTTTTTTGTATGTTCTTATAATTTCGACAAATGCATGGAGAAAAAAATGGTGGTTCAGATATGTAAACCCACATGTGACCCTGTATTTGGTTTAGGGTTCATCCGCGTAGCTGGTCGAAGAATACTGTTATTGAAAAGGGGCAAAGGCGACAGATAAGTTGCCCGTGTGAAGTCCGGCTGATTTGGAGCGGTACAGGGCAAGTTAGGGGAGTGGTATTGCTGTTGTTTTGCACAGTCTTGTTCAGACGTGTTATGGTAAGTCTACACACCACCGTTCGAGTCCCCTTCTATCTTTTTGTACTCGTTAATTCTTGCAAACACTATTATGGGACAACATTAGGCACACACCATTGTCGGGTTTGTTCATGGTATTGGTTGTGCATGTGATTTTCCCGTGATCCTTATTTATGAAGTTATGTACTGCTTTGTAATTATTTTCAATATGGACGAAGATGGTGAGTGACCACATTACCCGATCGTGTGATCCAAAAAAGGATTTTCAAAAGAACAGATGTATTTTTGTATTATAAAATTTGACAAACATATGTATATATTTGACTGACGGACTGATAGTGAGTCTTGTAATTCATTGAATTCATTCCAAGCAAGGTCAGAAGGTATGGTTTGAAGTCCTAAATTTAAGGCATGTAACATATGGTTCGAGATTCTGAAGTAGTGCATAATAGCTTATGCTCCTAAAATTATTTAATCATGTGTTGTACTTATAAAATTGCATTGAAAGCCTCATCCATGAATTTCTAACACTAATGCTTTTTACCCCTGTAGCAAAGATTGTTAAATGTGTATTTTTTGAGTGGGGTTAACATTATATTTCCATATTGATGTAAATATATGCAGTACCTAGCTACACTTTTGTGATCCTGAGCATGGTAGAATGAGATTGCATTAAAACAGTCGTCAGCAATGCTTTTCATGACATATATAGAGTACCAATCTGCCCACTTTGTTTATCCACTTCACGGTTTGTGTATAATTACATTTAGTTGTTATAATTCCATATCTTCTTCATCAAGTGTCAAGTATGACCACTTTGTAGATTAGTGATTTAGTATCAGGAATGCTTTGTAGATTAGTGGTTAACTGCCGGAATATTATTAATATAATTAAATTAATCAATGGTTAATCAAATATTAGTTAACGACTAACTAAAATAGAAACTTTTTTCATAACGTTTACTGAAAAAAGCATATCTTAATGTTTTGTGTCGTAACTTGATACAATAGTCAAATCTGGCCAACCTTTTTATCTCATTATAAAATAACTTTACCATGACAAACTTGTAACTTGACTCATTAATGATTAGTTTGTAAGAACTTACTAATTAGTGACTATATTATTCATATTTTAAGCGGTTAATAATAGTCACTATTCCTCATCTCTAATCGTTTACCAACCAACATCGTGTAATTATTACAGGAATAATTATTACTCATGTTTAAATGGTCAACTATAATCATTTTGCTTTCATTACCGACAATTTTAACTATTAAATAATATTTTGTTCTAATTAAAGTTTGAATCCTAATAATATTTTCTAAAATTAAAAATTAGTTCTTAATAATTTTTCATTTTAGTTTTTCAAAATTAAAAGCATACAAAACAGAAGTTTGAAAAAAAAAATGGGAAAAATATTTCTCCTTGGTCATTTTAGTTAAAATTAATAATTTTATTTTAAATAAAAATTAAAAAAATACTAACTTTCTTTCCCCGTAATATTCATTGTGCATCTTTTTATCTCATTTAAGTTTCCGTTTGCATCCTTTTATTTTTAGTATCTCTTCTCCTTATAATTAGAAGTTAAGCCAAATAAGTTTTGAGAAAAACTCTTATAATAAAAAAAATTTAGTTTATAATAAAGAAAAAAATCAAAAATCAAAAGCTCTTAGAAGGAGTTTTTTTTTTTAAACTCTTATCAGCTTTTCTTGATTTGTATGTTTTTTTGAAGGAAAATTTTTCATGTTGCATGAGAATTTAAGTTGCATGAGAATTTAATTCTCATGTTGTGATCTCTCGATTTGTGTGCAAAATTTTTCTTTTCTTTTTCTTTTTTTAATAAATATGTGACCTACCACTAATTAAGTCACAACACGAGAATTCAACGAAAAAATCAAACCCCTTTTTTGAAATGAATAAAATAGAAATAGAAAAGGAGGCTTTTCTTGAAATGTGTGATTTTAAATAACTTTTTAAGCTAAAATTTTTATCTAATCATCATACAGTTTTTAACTCTTGTTTAATTTTTTTTTTATTTGAAATGAATAAAATAGAAATAGAAAAGGAGGCTTTTCTTGAAACGTGTGATTTTAAATAATTTTTTAAGCTAAAATTTTTAACTAATCATCATACAGTTTTTAACTCTTTTTAAGTTTTTTTTTTTTTTTTAGTTTAGCTTAAAAGTAACTTCTAACTTAAAAAAAGAAAAGATTCAAACGGGCTTTAGAAAGACACAATTATATATCATTTAAAAGAATAAACAACAAACATAAAATGGGAAAGGGTTTATTGTTTCTCATTTAAAATGATAGTCCTTTTAGATGAATATAGTGTGTTTTTTTAAATTTTAAATTACAAATTTTTCTCTCTACTCTTTCTTTTCCATAGTTTGTTTCTTTATCTCTCTTGAAATGATATAAGTGTGTGTACTTTAAATAGACACACACTTCTCCCAATGGGAAAAATATTAAAAAGGTTAAATAGTCCACAGAGTAAACGACGAATGAAGGCGTCAAAGCCGTTAGATTTCTTGGAGCGAAATGAACAAAAGATGTCGTTTATTACATCACAAGGAAAGTGCCATCAGATCAAACGCTAAAAACGCGCATCATCGACGCGACACAAGCCCTGCCCTACCCTTCAATTTTCAATTGCTTCTCTTCTCACTCACTGAACCCACCGTTGCTTTGAATTTGCACATTCATTTCACGCAACTTTAGTTTTCCAGATTACGCTAACTCAACATTACTCTCTCTCTCTAATTCAACATACTCTCCGTTCATTCCTTCCTCTAACACTTTCCAGGTTCTATCTGTAAGCATTTTTATCAATATTTTCCATTCGCTGTTCATCTTTTTTTTTTTTATGATTTTATTTTCCAAATTTGTGAACTTTTTTATCCTAGATTTAAGATTTCATGATGCCCATCACTTGTAACTGGTAACTGTAAGTTTTGTGTTTTTTTTTTCTTTTTTGGTTTCATTATTATGAATTGTGATTGAATGTGAATCTGGGTCTTTGATCCTGAACTTGACTTTGGGTTTTATAATTTTTTTGAGGCAATTAGACTTATAAACTGATTTTTTTTTTTTTTTTGGTGTGTGTCAGTTGTGCCTCTTAGAAGTTGGAATAGAGATTTTGAGCTGGGCGGATGGAAGATGATAAGAGAAGAAGGAAAAACAAGAAGAAGAAGAACAAGCAAAGTAAGAATGTGGAGAATGGGGTTGGAGAACCAGACACTAGGGATCAGAATCTGGTGAATAATGGTAAGGATAAGCATACTAATCGTTCTGACACCGCGGACGAGCAAAGCATGAATGTGGATTTGAATGGGGTTGGAGAACCATTAACTAGGGATCAGAATCTGGTAAATAATGATAAGGATGAGCCTGCTCATCTTTTGGAGACCGCCACGGATGAGCAAAGCATGAATCTGGATTTGAATGGGGTTGGAGAATCATCAACTAGGGATCGGAATCTGGTAGATAATGGTAAAGATGAGCCTGCTCATTTTTCAGAGACTGCCGATGAGCAAATTATGAATGTGGATTGGAATGGAGGTGGGGAAACCCCAAACAGGGATCAGAATCTGGTGAAGAGTAGAGAGGAGGAGCATAGTCGACCATCGGAGTCTGCATATGGGCAAAGTACAAATATGGATTCGAATGGACATCTGCCAAATGGTAAAGAATGTGTAAGTTTTCCTTCAGTCAATATAGATTTCCACTGATGTTTAGAGGTTTATGCTCATGACTCAAGTGCTATACTTTAAAATTGAAACCGATAAATTTGGTTTAAACTTCTTATTTCCTAGTTCAGTTTCTGAATACTGTTTCTAGGTGTGTATGCCTTATTATACAAGCTATACATGGGCAAAACATCGTTTTGATGTCTCACCATTGTGCAAAATGGACAGTCTTGTCCTCATAAAAAATTGTGAAATTTTACACATACAATGTAATATTTTTGGTATTTCCTAGTCCCACTGATAGAAGATGATCTTACTTAACACTCTACAAAACAAAACTTTCACTTGAAAATTACCTTTACTTAAGCATTGCCAAATATAATACTCATTATTTCAATTAAATATTGTAAAATCCGTTAGTGTCAGAATTAATTCTACGCCAGTTATGCAAACAAGTTCATGGAAAACTGGATCTCATTGTTTCCCTCTGTCTCTTTCAAACATACTTGCCATCATATTTATTTGAATTTAGTGTTTGTGGACAGAGTGCACGACTTAACTAAATAAAACTACCTTTTCACAGCCTACCTCAGAAGAGGTAATTAAAAAATTGGGAAATGAAAATGATTGTAGAAAATTAGAAGTCAAACATGTTTCCGTTTTTATTTCCTATTAATTAGGATTGATTAGGATTGATTATGATTGATTAGAATTAATTGTGATTGATTAGAATTAATTGTGATTAGGATTGTGATAGGATTGATTAGTCATCGCTTAGTCATTCTTAGCGATTCTTTCTTGTATAAATACTCACTCATGTAATTTATTCAATATGAAATATAAAAAAACTTCTTTTCAATATGGTATCAGAGCGGGTTCGTTCCTACCCTAATTCAAATCTGAAATAACCATCCAAACACTTCCATCACCGTCAAACACCTCCTAAACACCGCCTTGAATCTGTCCAACACAGAAACCTAGTTTACTGACCTCCGATCAAAAAAGTGAGGTGACCATTCGACTCAGAAGGATCTGACGAGTCGACCGCCGCTGGACCCATCGCCGTCAGCCGCTGCACGCGCCGCCTTCCAGACGTTTTTTTTCCGTCGCGACTTGCACAGACCTTCTCGCCGGCTTCTCCCCTTCCTGTTCCAGAGGTCAGATCAAAAGTTTACAAAACTTGATTTTTCATCAACGGTCAACCCTTCTCTTTTTATTCATGGCTTCCTCAAAACACTCTTTTTATTACCACGAGCAACCTCCTAAGGCCACTAGTCATGTGGTCCAGCAAGGTACAACTTTCCATGTTGATAGTCAAAATCATTGGATCCTTGATTCTGGAGCCTCTGATCATATGACAGGTAATCTTGGCTTGTTTTGTTCATACACTCCATATTCTGAACCTTCTCGGGTCAAGATCGCCGATGGCAGTTTTTCCCAGATTGCAGGACACGGAACCATTAAACTTTCTGAGCTGATTACTTTGACATCAGTTCTTTATGTTCCTTCTCTGACTTGTAATCTCATTTCCATTAGCAAGCTCACCTCTGAGTTGCATTGCTTTGCTAAATTCTTTCCACATGGTTGTGTTTTTCAGGAACAGGACTCGGAGAGGATGATTGGCAGTGCTAGAGAGGATGGTGGACTTTACTACTTTGAGGAGGATGTGACTCATGAAGCTGTTTTCGTAGAAAAAAACTCTATGTTTCCTTTTGATTCATGTAATGATGTTATGCTGTGGCATCGTAGGCTAGGCCATCCAAATTTTATTTATCTTCAGAAGTTGTTGCCAAACTTATTTATTAATAAAAGTCCAAGTTTGTTTTCTTGTGATATTTGTCAACTTGCCAAGCATACTCGTGCTCATTATCCTTCTAAAGTTCACCATGACTCTTCCCCATTTTCCTTAATTCATAGCGACATATGGGGTCCAGCCCGTGTTAAAAATATTTCAGGTACTCGATGGTTCATTACCTTCATTGATGACCATTCTCGAGTTTGTTGGGTGTATCTTCTAAAGGATAAGTCTGATGCTGCATCCGTGTTTAAAAAATTTCATGCCATGGTTCAAACCCAATTCCAAGTTGCTATACAAATTCTTCGTACAGATAATGGCAAAGAGTATTTTAACTCTATTCTTGGAGAATACCTTTCCCAACATGGCATCCTTCACCAAAGCTCGTGTCCTGACACACCCCAACAAAACGGAGTTGCGGAAAGAAAAAACCGACATCTCCTTGAAGTTGCTCGTGCTCTTATGTTTACCACGAGTGTTCCTAAATATCTTTGGGGAGAGGCAGTTCTCACTGCCTCGTATCTGATAAATCGAATGCCATCTCGCATTCTGAAATTTCAGTCTCCTCTTTCTAGTCTTGTTCGTATCTTCCCTTCCTTCCGAGGTGTCTCCTCCTTACCTCTCAAGTTATTTGGTTGTGTTGTATTTGTCCATATTCCCTCCCATCAACGGTCTAAGCTTGATCCTAAGTCTCTCCAGTGTGTCTTTATTGGTTATTCTCCTACTCAACGTGGCTATAAGTGTTATTCACCCTCTCTTCGTAAGGTCTTTGTCTCTATGGATGTCACTTTTTCTGAGAATGACCCTTTCTTCCCCTCGACTTCTCTTCAGGGGGAGTCTATAGGAGTAGATGAAGATCAGTCATGGGAACCTATTAATGCCACAGTATTACCTCTACTTTTGGAAACAGGGGGAGCTACAGAATCCTCACCATCAGAAGCCTCCTCAAAATGGGGACAAGCTTATAGCAGGCGAAAGCCTCCTCAAAGTGTGAATAACCCAGAGCCTCTACACTGCCAGGATTCTGAACCATGTTCTAGTTCCAGCACCCCAATACTTGAGTGTCATGGTGAAAATGATCTACACTTGCCCATTGCTCTCAGAAAAGGTACTCGATCTTGTACTACTCATCCTATTTCTAATCATATTTCATATGGAAAGTTGTCCCCAGGGTTTCGTGCTTTCAATACTATGTTGGATAGTACAAAGATACCGAGAAATATACATGAGGCTCTCAATGATCAAAAATGGAGGGATGCTGTCTTTGAAGAAATGAATGCTTTAGAAAGAAATGGAACTTGGGAGATAGTGACCCTACCCAAAGGAAAAAAGGCAGTAGGATGCAAATGGGTGTTTACAATCAAATTCAATGCAGATAATAGCATCAACAGATACAAGGCAAGATTGGTTGCAAAGGGTTTCACTCAGACTCACGGGATAGATTATCATGAGACTTTTGCTCCGGTTGCTAAAGTCAATACCATCCGAGTTCTCTTATCTCTTGCTGCCAATCTAGATTGGCCTCTGCAACAGTTAGATGTGAAGAATGCATTCCTAAATGGTGACTTACATGAAGAAGTCTATATGGATCCTCCACCTGGTTTTGAAAAGGGAAATGGATCAGTGTGTAAACTAAAAAAGTCTCTATATGGATTGAAACAGTCTCCCAGAGAATGGTTCGACAAATTCACACAAGCAGTCAAAAGAAGAGGCTTCATTCAAGCACAGACTGATCATACTCTCTTCCACAAACACTCTAAGGATGGTAAAATTGCTATTCTTATTGTATATGTAGATGATATAATTCTTACAGGTGATGATATTGAGGAATTGAACACCTTGAAGAAATTTCTAGCAGCTCAATTTGAACTCAAAGACCTTGGCACTCTCAAATATTTCCTTGGTATGGAAGTTGCTAGGAGCAAAACAGGCATCACTCTAACACAAAAGAAATATGTTCTAGATCTTTTGTTGGAAACAGGAATGTTAGGGTGTAAACCTGCTGAGACACCTGTGGAACCTAATACCAAGTTAGGTATTGAAGATGGGAATGAGGTGGATAAAGAACAATATCAGCGATTGGTTGGTAAACTAATCTACTTATCTCATACGCGTCCTGACATTGCCTTTGCGGTGAGTATGATTAGTCAATTCATGCACTCACCCAAGGAGAAGCATCTTAGTGCAGTCTATAGGGTGCTTAGATACCTCAAGAATACTCCAGGAAGAGGATTATTCTTTAAAAAGGGGTATAAAAGGACAATTGAAATCTACACTGATGCAGATTGGGCAGGCTCATCAGTAGACAGGAGATCTACCTCAGGCTATTGCACCTATGTGTGGGGAAATCTTGTTACTTGGAGAAGCAAAAAGCAAACAGTGGTTGCAAGAAGTAGTGCTGAAGCAGAATTTCGAGCTTTAGCTCATGGAGTTTGTGAAGGAATCTTGAGAAGACTTCTTCAAGAGTTGAAGATTTCATATTCCCTACCAATAAAACTATATTGTGACAACAAGGCAGCTGTTAGCATTGCTCAAAATCCTGTGCATCATGATCGAACAAAGCACGTGGAAGTTGATCGTCACTTCATCAAAGAAAAATTAGATGATGGAAGTGTGCGTTTGATATATGTTCCAACCAAAGAGCAAACGGCAGATGTCCTTACCAAGGGCCTACACCGTCCAGCATTCGAAGACTTGATTGGCAAGTTGGGAATGATCAATATTTACCTCCCAACTTGAGGGGGAGTGTAGAAAATTAGAAGTCAAACATGTTTCCGTTTTTATTTCCTATTAATTAGGATTGATTAGGATTGATTATGATTGATTAGGATTGATTATGATTGATTAGAATTAATTGTGATTGATTAGAATTAATTGTGATTAGGATTGTGATAGGATTGATTAGTCATCGCTTAGTCATTCTTAGCGATTCTTTCTTGTATAAATACTCACTCATGTAATTTATTCAATATGAAATATAAAAAAACTTCTTTTCAATAATGATATGCTCAAACAGAATGTGGTAAGATGTTTAAAAGTTTTATTTTTTTCATATATATGCTGGCATGTTTTATAGTTTCAAATTTTTTATATGTGTAGCCTATCTTTCCACAGGGCATATCAGAAGAGACAATTAAGAATTTGCAAGGAGAAAATGCTATGCTCATTCAGAAAGAGGTAATATTTTACCTGATAAATTTCTGTCCTTTGTTTTAGAACCTATGTTTCAATGTTTTTATAACTTGTACAGCATATCACTCCGCAGACATTATCAGAAGAGACAATAAGGAAATTAAAAGAAGAGAAAGATATACACATACAGAAAGAGGTAATATTTTTATCTGAGAAATATCTGTCCTTTGTTTTATTATGTTTCAATGTTTTTATAATATGTATTATGTATCACTCCACAGGCCATATCAGAAGAGGCAATCAGGAAATTAAAAGAAGAAAATGATATACACATTCAGAAAGAGGTAATATTTTTATCTGAAATATCTGTCCTTTGTTTTATGGTATTTTAATGTTCTTATAATATGTACTATGTATCACTCCACAGGCCATATCAGAAGAGAAAATCCAGAAATTAAAAGAAGAAAATGATATGCACATTCAGAAAGAGGTAATATTTTATCTGAGAAATATCTATCCTTTGTTTTAGCAATTATGTTTCAATGTTATTATAACATGTAAAGCGCATCATTCCACAGGCTGTATCGGAAGAGACAATCAGAAAATTGAAAGAAGAAAATGACATGCATATACAAAAAGAGGTAGTATATATTTTTTTATCTATAAGTGACATTTGTTCTTTTTTCTATTGTTTATATCTTGCAATTTTCTTTTGACACGTATAGTCTATCTTTCCACAGGTTTCATCAGAAGAGACTATCAGAAAATTGAAAGAAGAACATGATAAGCATTTTCAGAAGGAGGTAATGTTTTATCTAGAAATATATGTCCTTTGTTTGAGCACTTATGTTTCTCTGTATTTATGACATGTACACCCTATCATTCCACAGGCCATATCCAAAGATACAAATAGAAAATTGAAAGAAGAAAATGATATTGTCATGCAGAAAGAGGTAATATATTTTAAATTTTATCTGTGTGATATCTGTTCTTTGTTTTAATCTTTATCTCGCAATTGTCTCTTTACACACATATCATATTTTCAAACAGGCGATATCAGAAGAGAAAATAAGAAAATTGAAAGAAGAAAATGAAGTGTACATTCAGAAAGAGGTAATTTTACTTTAAACCTTATCTTTGAGATTTATGTCATATATTTAAGTGCTTATATTACAAGTGTTCTTTAGTATGAACGCATATAACCTATCTACAGGCTATGTCAGAGGAGACAATTAGAAAATTGAACGAAGAAAATCATAAACACATTCAGAAAGAGGTAATATATTGTAAGTTTTAGCAGATTATTTGTTTAACTGGTTATATTGCAGCTGTATATTTACTTTATCAACAGGAAATCTAGAAAGAAATTCTAGAAAAATAACTAAAAGTAAGCATGACTCCTAATATCACCTCTTATTATTATCTTTTCATCTCTACAATTTGTTTTGCCTTTCTTTTACAGGTTTCCTTGGAAGAGATCATCAATAAATTGCGAACTGAAAATGAATTGCAGACTCAAAAACATGTAATTGAATTTGAATTTAACAGTTTTGATGAATGTGTGAATGGTGCTTATGTATTATTTGAATTATATTATTCTTATATATTTTTAGCTACTGACTGGTATATTTAACTTGATTATCTGCAGAGTGGTCTGGAAATGAGAATAGCACAATTGCAGGGTGAGAATAATTCCTTGCTTCAAAAAGAGGTAAGTGACTTAATATTTTTTTCCTTTTAAATGATTTAGGAGCATTCAGTTTGATAAATTATTTATCATGTTATTCAATATTTAATAGTATATCATATATAGGCTGGATTGGTGGAAAAAACCAATCAGTTGCTGAATGAAAAGGAAGTCTTGAGCCTGAAAGTGGTAAGAATTGCTAATCAACTTTGTCAATTCACATTCACTGTTTATTCAACCTTGGCTGGACCCCCTTCCCCTCTTTCATGGTGTGTGATATTTTGAGCTTTTTTTTCTAATGAAAGTTGGGTTAAAATTCTTGATCCAATATACATTGTTCCACAGGAGAGTTTAGAGCAAAAAATGAATCTCCTGGAGAATGATTTGAGTTCTTTTATTGAGAAAGAGGTAATAACTTGTCTATTCTCTCGTGTTATTTCATTGAATATCTTGTTGGCTTAATAAGCAACCTTAGCTTTCATATAATAGATTAGCTGTTACCAGCGCCCAATTTGGACCAGGTAAAATAAAATAAAATTTAAGCAGGTAATTGAATTTGAATTGAACAATTTTGATGGATATGGCTTTATGTATTATTTAAATTATATTATCATATATTTTTAGCGGTGTATTTAACTGGATTATCTGCAGACTGGTGTGAAAACGAGAATTGCACAATTGCAGGGTGAGAATAATTCCTTGCTTCAAAAAGAGGTAAGTGACTTAATTTTTTTTCTTTCAAAATATTTAGGAGCATCGTGTTTGAGATATTATATACCAAGAATTAAAATATTTAATATTTAATAGCATACCACATGCAGGCTGGATTGGTGGAAAAAACCAGTCAGTTGCTGAATGAAAAGGCAATTTTGGACCTGAAAGTGGTAAGAATTACTTATCAATTTTGTCATTTCCTACCTTCACTGTTTCTTCAACCTTGGCTGGACTCCCTCCCCTCTTTCATGGTGTTAATATTTTGAGTTTTTTTTACTAATGAAACTTGGGTTGAAATTCTAAATCCAATATACATTGTTCCACAGGAGAGTTTAGAGCGAAAAATAAATCTCCTGGAGTGTGATTTGAGTTCTTTTATTGAGAAAGAGGTAACTTGTCTATTCTCTCGTGTCATTTCATTGAATATCTTGTTTGCTTAATTACCAACCTAAGCTTTCATATAGTAGATTAGCTGTTGCTAGCTCTCAATTTGATCAGGTAAAATAAAATTAAACAGGTAATTGACTTTGATTTGAACAATTTTAATGAATGTGTGGATGGCTCTTATGTACTATTTAAATTATATTTTTAGCTTCTGACTTGTATATTTAATTGGATTATCTGCAGACTGGTCTGGAAACGAGAATTGCACAATTGCAGAGTGAGAATAATTCCTTACTTCAAAAAGAGGTGAGTGACTTAATTTTTTTTTTCTTTCAAAATATTTAGCTGCATTGTGTTTGAGAAATTATTTATCAAGAATCAAGATATTTAAAATTTAATAGTATATCACGTGCAGGCTGGATTGGTGGAAAAAACCGATCAGTTGTTGAACGAAAAGGAAGTTTTAAGCCTGAAAGGGGTAAGATTACTTCATCAACTTTGTCATTGCCTACATTCACAGTTTATTTAACCTTAGCTGGCTCTCTCAACACCCCCCCCCCCCCCTCCCCCCTCCCCGAGTGCAATATTTTGAGTTTTTTTTTTTTTTTTTTTTTTAATGAAATTCTAAATCAAATGTACATTGTTGCACAGGAGAGTTTAGAGCAAAAAATAAATCTCCTGGAAAGTGATTTGAGTTCCTTTATGGAGAAAGAGGTAATGACTTGTCTATTCTTTCCAGTGTTATTGCATTGAATTTATTGTTTGCTGAATTAACAGCCTTGACTTTCATATAATAGATTAGCTATTGGCATAACTTTCATATAATAGATTAGCTATTGTCAGCACCCAATTTTGACCAGGTAAAAAAATAAAAATAAAATTAGAAAGTATAAAAGTATAATAAAGTATAAAAATCTATTTGAAAAAATAAATTAAAAATAAAATTCTACCCCAATTTTCAAAATAAATCCCTAGGGCCAAACCAATTCTTTGTCATAGTTGGAAATTTCTGATAGCATGAGTGTCCAGTTTAAGTTTTAAGACTAAAGGTACCTTTCTGTTTGATGGTAATTGGGAAAAAAAGATTGATTGATTTAGGAAATATAGGTGGTTTTGAAATGAAAAAAACCAAAATAAAAAGGGGAGGTTTTTTGCAAACAAGATATTAGTTTGGAGAGAAACAGAAGGGAAAACGTAGATAGAAGGGTGCAGAGTAGTTGAGGTATCTTGGTAGAAGTTTATGTTTATCCCATTTTTTGGACTCCAGGTTAGTTTTGTTCTGTTTTTCTTTTTTTTTCCCCTTCAGTATTCTCTGTTGGCTCTGGGGGGCAAGCCATGGAGCATTAATAGTAAGGTTGTTTTTTTGTGATTGGAAGGTTATAGGTTCGAGTTTAGGAAACAGCCTCTTTGCAGGAATGCAAAGGTAAGACTGCATAAATTCAACCGCCACCCTACCCTCAATCGAGCCCTTGTGCAATGGTATTTGCCCTTCTCTCTTAGCTCTACTGCACACCATGCCGTCACATGAGCCCCTCTTGTTGCTACAATCCCCATGGTTGCATGAGCCTCTCCTCTGCTGCCGTAGCCTGCACGTTTTATGGGTTTAGAACAGAAATTATGTTTGCCTCTGACCTTTATACAAGGGCATAGTGGTTCAGTAGATAGTTCCATGTGAATGGCAACGAATAAGCAGAAGGCAACAATATTGCAGACTCATGACATGATCAGGATTTAGTACTTAGTTGGACAATTAATAATGAACTTGAGGAGTGCTTTAGCAAATGCAAGAACATTTTACATGCAAGCCAAAAGGGGTTAGAAGGAAAAATTAGGACTGCATGACTGGATTGATCTGAAATCTGAAGATGTGCCTGCGAACTGTTAATTCATATTTCATTTTTCCCCCTTTATTGTTATTCCAAGATTGAAAGCAACAAGTTTTCATCATCATAGTTTATTGATTGATTGTGGCTTGAATCAGTAGATTTGTGCTAAATGCCTGGCTTTATTTCTTGTGAATTTGTCCCTTAGCAGAAGCATAACATGTTTTTTATTTACAGAACTCAACTAAAGAAATTATTTCAAATCTGAATGGAAACGTCAGCATGCTACAAGTGCAGGTATGTACCTCATGTATATACATGCATATTTTATGTTGAAAAACCTACGAAAGTATTAGAGATTAATTTTTTTTTAAGGTATCATTATCCTTAATTTCCATCTTTAGGAGTTATAAACTTGTAACTACTTGAAACATTATCTTGTACGTTCAGCTTTGGAATCAGTTTAGTATAACTACAGAATAGGGCTGCCATTGTAAGCGAGCCTTCTGATTCATTAAAAACTTGTTCAATCATGAATTTTGAAGACTTCAATCCAAGTGGATATGTGAAATAAAAAAAAATTTATGCAGTTCTTTATTTGGGTAATAATACTTGTATCTCTAGCATCAAGTTCGTGTTGTTTTTCTTACACTTTGAGGCTATTAAGAGTGGCCTGAATTCAGCTGTTCTCCAAAATTTTCCTAGTTCTAATGCGAACATATCTGGTGTGGCAATAAGATATTGCATCTCTGTTTTTTCTTTTGGCTGTGCCGAGTAATTTTATCTCGCAAGTTTGTATCTATTGGTAATACTATGGTTTTCCTTTGCTGGCAAAAGAGCAGATTCTCTGCATGCAGACGAAACTACCAATATAATTATTTTCTCAACTTTTCTTGCTTAGACATTCTGCCTAATTTTCTGTAACAATTCAGGTTGTGTTTTTACTTGTTATGGTACTGAATACTGATCCATTATTTTATTTTTTTAGAATTGTGTTGTTTTGGCAATCCTTCTGACATAAATGCTGTTCCCTGTAATCAAGTCTTTCTTTAACTCCCATCTGTTATAAATATTGGCTTGATGGATCACCCTCACATGTTGTTATTGGTCATGTCCATATTTCATACCAAACCTGTGTTAATTCTGATATGGAAATTAAAAACAAAGTTTGGCAGGTGGCAGAGTTGGAAGATTCCAGGAATAATCTTTTGCTAGAAAACCAGCTATTGAGGGAAAATGTGTCAGGTCTTCAGTCAACAATCCAAAATCTTGAAAACAGTAGCACGTCTTGCTCACTGGATGCATCTGCTAAGGTTTAATTTTGCTATCCCATGTGTTAAAATCTACAGTACACATTCATCCTTAGGAAAATTAAGTTTTCCTGACTTTTGTACTTTTGAAAGGAGAGGATCGTTGATAGTTATATATGACTACGTGAAAAATGATCTTCTAATGTGTTATATTTGATGATAGTCAAATTTGAAGTGGTGGACTTCACAGTTTAGTAGTCCTTGACTGTTACTAGTTACATTTTAGTTCTGTGGCTTATCATAATTTCTGAAAATGATGATGGAGTATAAAATACGTGTTATAAACCACTCAAGTAGGTGAATATGTGACCTCGAATAGGAAGGAGGCAGAAGAAACTTTACTCTTTGCCTACGTATGTTGCCTCTGACCATGTTTTGGTTTATGTTGGATAGGATCGTGCTTCTGAAAATGAGGACTTGAAGTCTCAAATTGAAGCGGCCTGTATGTTGGTGGAGAAATTGGTGGCAGAAAATGCGGAACTTGTTGGGAAGGTAATGTGCTGGGTTCTTTATGGCTTTGTAAAAGAATACCACGAATTGCTGATGACATACTAAAACATTTGATATCTTGTATTAGTAGATTTAGATTGGTTGGGTAAGATTATGTTGATAGTGTTATGCATGCTTAATTCATTTTAATCCTCAGGTCAACGAGTTATATGTTGAGCTGGATCAGCGAAGTGCAGAAGTTGGACTTCCTGGAGTCGCTGGGCCTGATGGGATGGTGGAATTTACTAAACCTGAATCTGCTGAAATTACGGCTATATCAGCCCAGGAGTTGGATTCGTTGGAAGAGACTTCAGTGAAGGATAATGGTGAGTCTAGTGATGCTGAGCATGCTGTTGGGGTAATTTCAAACTTGTCATTGGTATCTGATGATGCTGGAGAAATTGTGCAAATTCCATTGGATGATAATGAAGCAGGAGATCCTGAGTTGCAAGAAGCCAAGAATGTGGAAAATGATGGTGTGCCAATAACAGATGCTCCCCTTATTGGTGCTCCTTTTCGCCTGATATCATTTGTTGCTAAGTATGTTAGTGGTGCTGACTTGGTTAACCAAAGCTCTTCAAACACCAGTCGTTGACTTTCTAATACTGAGTGAAATAGAGTTGTCCTTTTTTTTTTCTTTTTTTGTGGGGGTACAGTAACCTCATATTAGGCAGAATACCAATAGGTTGGCCTGAATTGGGCCATTTTAATGTCAATTCTTTTGAACATTTGGAAATATTGTACCGGGGAAGAGTACAGTGTTGTATTGTGTATTCATACCTCACATTGCTTTCATAGTCAGAAATTATAGCTTTAAACGATGGCATAATGAATAAGAATCTAGTAATTTATGACTAGTTTGTGCTGTGGTCGTATGAGGGAGCGTGTTGAGATATATAAAATCATTAATGTAATCTTATCCAATAACTTAAGCTTTTGAGTTGAATTGATTTTTTACAGTGCCGCCTCAAGTCTTATGATGATTAGGCTTTCTGATAAATTGCAAAATTTGGCCACTTTTATATTGGTATACCAAGTGCCAACAAAAAATCACTGGTCTTTTCTCCATGTTTACTAAGGGTAGTAAGATATTTTTCTTAAAATAAATTGTTATAATTATTTATTGAATCCCTGCTCATTGGAATAACTTGCAAGTCATAATATGATGCTAATTCACTGAATCAGATATATCAATATTTTTATGTTGACCGAAATTTAATCTATTCCTTTAGTATGGTATTAGACGTCTGGTTAAAGCAACCATGAGAAGGTGAATAAAAAAAATGCAAGATGCTTAAACATACAAGTGTTTTTCTTTTGATGCTAAGATCTCAAATGAATATTGACTAGGTACATATCAAACTAGGCAATGGATTATATTGTTCGTGCAGATTGTTATTTGGAAAATACTTATGCATCTTCATCTGTTGAGTAGCCAGCCATTCAATTATATGGAGTGAAAGCATGGAGCCCCTTGAACTTGTTATCTGAGAATTATGTCTGGTTCTCAGAAATGGATGCTCTGATTTCTTCAATTATCCTAACAACTTCCTCCATCGAAGGTCTGGTGTCAGGCATCAGTGCCACACATGCCATTGCCAGTTGCAGCATCTGCACCAGTTCTTCTTCAATGTTTGGATATCTCATTAGCTCAAGATCAAACACTTCAGCAGTCCATTCCTCTCTTACAACAGATTGCACCCACTTTGGAAGATCAAACACATCATCATGATGCCCTGAAAACTTAACTGGTGCTTTGCCAGTCAGCATCTCAAGAAGGAGGACACCAAAACTATACACATCAGATTTTTGGGTGAATTTTCGGGTTTCGATAACCTCAGGTGCTCGGTATCCTTGACTTCTGGAGGAGACAGAGAAACTTGTTAGAGGAGTTAAGCCAAAATCTGATATGCAGCCTTGAAGATCTTTTGAGAGAAGCACATTAGATGATTTTATATTGCCATGGACTAATTTCCTTCCATTAGCTGAGTGGATATGAGCAATGCCCCTAGCAGCTCCCACCATGATCTTCAATCTGGAATCCCAATCCAGTGGAGTTCGTCCAGTTTCCCTTGTTCCTGTCATCATATTTCACATGAGATATGAAGAAAATGTGAAAATTAGCAATGCATTCAACCATCTCTAAGCATACATAAAAAATATTGACAAGCACCTCCAATGTAACAATATACACTCACACACACTGAAGATAAAGACCAACATTTTGTATATTGGTCTTTTAATGTGCACAACAATATTTAGGTTTGTTCTAATACTGACATAAAGCATACAACATCATTGTGTTGATAGTAATATTGACACCATATATTGGTTTATCTTCTTCTGACATCTATAATAAGAAGAGAAAACTATATGGCATTGCCAGCCTTGAACATTTTGTGTAACCCAAGAGAAGTTCAAAATGATAAGTAATTACCGTGCAATAACTTGGAAAAGCTTTCAGATGTTAAGTAATCGTAAACCATTAGTTTTTCATCCTTGGAATAGTAGTAAGCACGAAGGGGAATAACATTTGGGTGCTGATCAAGCCTTTGGACAATCTCCAATTGCTGTTCAAATTCTTTTTTCCCCACTGCCACTTCTTTTAACCTCTTCACTACAACTGTTGTCCCCTCCTCCAAGATGGCTTTATATGTTGTTCCACAACTTCCCTTCCCAAGCACTTCAGCTGAAGCTCTTAGTAAATCCTCAAGATCAAAATTATAAGAACAACCTCCAAAAAATACTAGCTTGTTTCTCTCAGGTTCTTGCACACCACTCCCAAAGTCCTCCCTAAGCTTCTCACCCTTGTCTTTAGGTGCTGCATTTTGTTCCCCTTCCTTTTTCTTGAAACAGCAGAACACTACTATAATAACTGCAAGAAATAGCAGTGCAAAACCCCCCAAAGAAATTGCAATTTTTGCACCTTTACTCAGCTTCTTGCTTGAGAGATCACTTTGTTTTGGGGAGACAATTGGTGGGGACAAAGTAGGAGTAGGGGATACTGAAGAACATTGTTTCAAAGGTGCTCCACATAACATTAAATTCCCTTTAAATGAAGAGGCAGGAAACTTATGGAACCCTGAAGGAATTGAACCATTTAAGTAGTTGAAACTCAAATCCAAATTCTTAAGGTTAGGAAGGTTAACATCAGGAATAGGTCCTCTCAGAGAGTTATTTTGGAGGTTCAGTCCTTTTAGGTATGTCAAGTTTTGGATAAAGGCTGGAATATGTCCTGAGAAAGAGTTATAGGACAAATCAAGATACATAAGCTGGGGTGGCAGTGAGTCAGGAATATCACCTGAGAAGTTGTTATGTTGTAGATATATAAAGCGTAGAGAAGGAATGGAAAATATGTCACTTGGAATGCTACCACTCAAGGTGTTGGACCTAAGACTGAGACTAATGAGGCCATTTAGCTTACCAAGTGTATTGGCTGGGAGAGAACCACGCAATCCAACACCTGGTAACCTCACAGAAAGCACATGGGAGCCATTAGAACTGCAAGTAACTCCAACCCAAGAAGTGCATAATGAAGTACTAGAGTTCCAATTGACTTTTTGACCATGATGAACTGCAGCAGCAAAGTCAAGGAGGGCTTGTTTTTGTGAATGTAGATCAGCTATAGTTTGAGGAAACTCAAGCAGGAGTAGGAAAATTGGTATTGTGACAAAGTAGGACTGTAGCATCATCAAGTTTTGTTGTTCAGACTATGAATCAATGTGCCTGAGATTAGAGGCTGTGACTGGTTGTCTTGTTTCCCTAGCAATGAAGATTCCAAAATATTACACACTGATCCAACTGAACAACTTTAACCATTAACCAAACATGCAATGCAACAAAACAGTAAAATTTTCCTTTCTCAGTTAAGCTGTACTAAAATTTGTGTCTCATCTTTGAAAGTGAAGACATGAACATTCATTGGCCAAAATCAATTGCAGAAGCAGTTTAGTTGTGTTTTTCATAATATGAAACTAGTAGCACACTTAGTTATATGTAACATATTAATTTGTTCTATATGTGTAAAGAAAATGAACTCACTAAAAATGAAGATTGAAAAAAAAGAAAGAGAAGAAAATAAAATGCAGATAATTGAGAGATGAAAACCTTGAAAAAAAGGAGAGAGGGAAGGCAAGTTGGAAGTGGAAGAAGCAAAGGGAGGTTGAGCACTGTAAGTGATGGAAATGAATTTTGAGAAAGAAAAGGTTTTTGTTAAAGCCATGTTTGGTTTGCTTATTTGGCAACAGCCAAGGACAAGCTTTAACGGCATAGCTTCAGGAACACGCCAAACAACTCATACACACAAAACCAGAGACATTGAAAAAGTGAGGCTTATTAAAAGCACTATACAGTACTATACTATCATACTATGCTACAATATGCATAGATAATTTTAGAAAAAAACTATTCTCATGCTACATGAGATATATTTTTCCTTCTACATACTCTTTGATAAATGTACCACTTTTTTTTTTTTTTTTTCAGGTAATGGATCCCATAAGTTTATCTCTGTGACATGAGATAACCTATCTACTTTAACATGAGATTAATAAAATCCTACTTTACTTTTGGTTTTCTTGTTTATGATTTGGTAGATTCAACGTTTAAGTAAGCTTATTACTCAGCTTCAACTTGAAGCCTTCTTGTTAGTCCAATTAACATTAAATAATTCTATAAAAATTTGTACTACAGAATGATTTATATGTTAAAGTAATAATGTTTCAGTTGTTGATTTACTTAATACACTCAATTTTATATACCATGTCTATACAAGAATCACTCTAGTGTTAAATCATTCGTTTCTTAATACTTTATGATAAAATAAAATAAAATTAAGGATTAAATAATTTCTTTTGAACAGTAGAAAATCTTGATCCCCATGTTAACTAAGATGTAAGAGAAATTTTTTAAAGGTTGTGAAAAATGAATTAGATCTCAAATTGAAAAAAAGAAAAGAAAAATTATTTGAACTATTGAATAAGACTTATATTAATTTCACTTGCAGATCTCGATGGAAGTAAGGTATGGGTTTCCTTCCTGTTTCCCATATTCCTATGAATTGATCACTACCTCAGTTACAGTTAAAAATTTTAATTTCCCTGATTTTCTTGGGCTTAGTTCTTGTTCTGGATCACGCATAGAGAAGTTCTCGAATCACTATTATAATCTATTTTTTTGCCAATTTATCATAAGTTATAACAGGACCATTTATTAAAAAAAAATGAAAAAAGTTTTTTTTTGCTATTGTTGTTAGATCACATTTGTTATTATTTTATAGAGTTCATTTTTTTCTGCGGTTACTGCATATAAGTTATCTGCAATAAGTCCAATACGATATCATTTTGAGACAGAAATCATAGTGTATTTATAATTTTATTTTATTTCAGGGTTATTATAGTCTTTATAATTATAATTTTTTTAATATTTCAATCTCAAAACGATGTTGTTTTGAGAGTAAATGCAAATAACTTATCTGCAGTAACTGCAAAAATATTTTATTTTATATCTAAAACCATGTGTTACGAAAGGAGCACCAATGATTCAATTCAGTTCATCTTGATCATGAAATGCGTGAAAAAAAAAAGTTTTAAACAAACATAAAAAAGGTACCTCAAACAATTAAGGAATACTATTTACACTTTTTTTTCCTTCTATTCAAAGGTTGCAAAGCTGTTAAATGTGATTAAATTTGAATAATGATGCTACTTATCTTAGGGTGAATTATATAAAGGGTGCCACAACAGTTTCAACACTATTTGAGACTTATAATTGTACATTACTTCTGCCTTCTGTTCTGACTTCAAATAGGATTGATTGCCTTCTTGAAGTGTGGATGGCCTTTTGTCCCTCCCTAGAATCAAAGGACCACAACAACTAAAGTCTACCATGTGTTTCAAATTTTTGTAGGTCCAATCCCCATATCCGTTAGAAAGGAAGCTTTACCCTTGTGTTACTAGATTTTAGAATTCATTTTAAGGTACACTCAAACAAGTAGTGAAATTGTTGTCAAACACTGATGGCACAAATTTAACGGTCTTTAGACATAATTTTTGGGTAAGAATAAGATTTCTTATACTTAAGTCATTGATTTAGATACATCTGACTGTTATATTTATTTTTATTTGAGTGTCCTTGTATATTCTTTGAGAATGAAATACAAGCAAGGTGTGGGGGTGTTTTCTGATAGGGACAATTATTATAATTATCTAATTTTATGATTAGACTTACATAATAGAAAAATATTCATGAAACAAATTTAATTATTGTGATTGACAAAGCATAAGAAAAGTATATACAGCTACATAAAATTAAGAATCTCTTTCCTTTGGCTGCTAATGTGAGAGGCTTTGAAATGGAAAATTATTAATGGATTGATCTGCTTTGGGCCTCATGACCCTGCTAAGAAACTTAAAAACAAAACAAGCCATCAATGATTTATTGGGCTTTCTTCTCGGCTTGTTTGACTAACTCTTTTTTCTTCTTTTTTATACCAATCATAATAACTTCTTTACGAGGTGTTTGGTAAAAGAAAAAATTTTATTTATCTCGGAAATAATTATTATCGGAATGTAGTAGGAAATATATTTTTATTGGAATGTTAGTAAAAGGTGTTTGGTATGACCAAATTTACCTAGGAATTTATGGTTAAAATTATTGAGTGTGTGTTTGGTTGATTGTTAAATATTAGTGGGAATTGTAACATCCCCAGCCTCGAGCCGGTTCAATTAACATACATATGATACTTAACAGAAACAGCGGAAGACTTAACTTACGAAAATACGAACTAACTTTTTCTTTTTCTTTAATCCTTTTTCACATGACATATCACATTGCATACTTCTTCTAATTTAATTCTTATTTTACGGAGACGAAAATCGGACAGAGTAACCTCTGTAAATCGGACAACTGGGGATTTTCCAATCCCACTCTCAAGAGTTCCTGATAGACAGTTTAAACAATATATATTTCCAGAAATACCAGTCATGCAAATATACTCAGATACCCATCTATGGGCGCATGCTGAACTTGGCTCCGTGCCACAAATCTAATAGCATGCAATCCAATACATAACATAACTGAATACTACATAGTCATATCATCATGCCTGAATACATAAATGTACATGTATCGAATATGAACACTATGCAACAATACATCTTTTCCAAAAATACGTCTAAAACAAATAGTAGCATCCGACCACCCAGAACTCCACATCCTCATACTAGTACCTCTAGCCACGGTTAGTGTCCTTGTCCCATGAGACTCTTCAATTAACTGTGCTCCTGAAATCATATCCCCAAACAAGGTTAGAGACGAATCTCTAGTAAACTCCAGGTTTATGGAAAACCCTCCATACCCTGGGCTCACTTCCTGCATGACAGTCAGATACATAATATACAAAATATCATATAAGCAATTATCATAACTGAACAAAGCATATATACATATCTTATCAAAGACAAACGCAGTCATTCCCAAGGGATGACCCCAAGCGAAAATCAACGCCCGTAACAAATATCTTTTACAAAAATCATCACAATACTCACATCAGAAAAAAACGTGTTATATCAGAGACGTACGCAATCGTTCCCAAGGGATGACCCCAAGCGGAAATCAACGTACGTAACAAATATCTTTTACAAAATCATCATACATATCCCATAAAACATGTCATATAATCAAACATCATAACTAAACAAAACATATACACATATCTTATCAGAAACGTACGCAGATATTCCCAAGGGAGGACCCCAAGCGAAAATCAACGCACGTGTTCCCAAGGGAGGACCCCAAGCGGAACCAGAATATATCAGAGGCGTACGCAGTCATTCCCAAGGGAGGACCCCAAGCGGAAATCAACGCACGTGTTCCCGAGGGAGGACCCCAAAGCGGAACCAGAACATATCAGAGGCGTACGCAGTCATTCCCAAGGGAGGACCCCAAGCAGAAATCAACGCACGTGTTCCCGAGGGAGGACCCCAAAGAGGAACCAGAACATATCAGAGGCGTACGCAGTCATTCCCAAGGGAGGACCCCAAGCGGAAATCAACGCATGTGTTCCCGAGGGAGGACCCCAAAGCGGAACCAGAACATATCAGAGGCGTACACCATCAGTCCCGAGGGAGGACCCCAAAGCGAACATCCGAGTACTATACAATCAATGGCCAGATATTGTTACCGAAATCATATTACAGAAGTCATATCATAACAAAACATATCATATTAACACATATCAAAGTAAATACATCAAAACAAAACATATCATATTGTCATATAGCTCTATATGAATGCATCTACATCATATATCTCATACATATCATACAACCTGACCACAGTTAGGTCCACTGATTGTATATTAACACTATGGCGGAACACAAAGTAGGAGCGAACCCCATAAACATAGAGCTTACCTCTTGGAGCTTTACAATTTGCTTACTTGAAGAACAAGCTACTTATCATGCTCCACGAGAATCCAAACGTTCACAGTCCCTAGGTACACCCAGAGAAGGAATTCAACACAAAACTCAATAAAATGATATAATGCCATGTAAATATACAAGACACACACTTTATTGTTTATTTTCTTTTTACTTAATCATATTAAGTCATGAGTGGGTGGTTCTTTGTTCAATAAATCCTCACAAAATTTCACATATTCACTTAGTCTTAGGATAGTCCCAACTTA